TGTCGGGACAGAATGTCATAATTTATTTACTTATTCATTTATTTATTTATTCACTTATTTATTTATTCAGTTCTATAAATTATATCCTACTGGGTCTTTCGCTCACGTTTTATTGTTTTATAAATGTAAACCCCTCGGTGCGGAGTAGCTGGATTATTTGCTACTGTCCGATCAAGTGAGGATTATGTTCATCCTCTTGGATATATGTAAGGATTTGTAAAATTTTGTAAACTCTGATATTTGGATTCCTAGACTGTGGTTGATGTATGTAATGATTTATTTACATGTCATGTATGTACGGTAATGAGATTCTATGGATAGATCTTGTGTTTAGTACAGTGTGAGAATAAACTCTGATATTTGGATTCCTAGACTGTGGTTGATGTATGTAATGATTTATTTACATGTCATGTATATACGGTAATGAGATTCTATGGATAGATCTTGTGTTTAGTACAGTGTGAGAGGCTTGAGTTTTACTCTCCCTTGTGATTTATTTTAAATTGAGTGTGGGGCTCATCGGGAATTTCCTTCATTCCCATGCGTTTAACCCCTAATCAAGCTCCACGTCACCGACTCCTGTTCCGGGGCGTGACAGGTAACCCTACCAATAGTGTTTTGCTTAATTTTATTGTTCAAAAAAAGACAACACAAAAGTCTTTTGCTTAATTGGATTTTGTTGTCTCTTTCTTAATCCAATTCTAAACATAATATACAATTAAATTCATACATTGCATAAACGGACATCATGCAACTAAGCACGTGATTTTACTAGTGTTACTAAATATTCGGATTTTGCTTTTGGTAGTAAAAACCCAATTTATATATATGTATATATATTATCAATCTAATTTGTTATGCATTAATGATCGGTATAGTGCTAAAACAATTGTAAGATAATAACTGAATAAAAGAATTCTTTCGTATTCTTTATAACAAAGACACTGGATAAAACACACATCGTGCACGGTACATGTTTCACAAGTTTTTTTTTTTTTCCCCTCGATAAAAAAACGACCACTAATGCCCATCTGGCCATTTTATTCCCATTATCTACGGAAGAAAATGGATCCTCAAGTGGAACCAAAATCATTGAATCCAATTATACTCGAATGAAATGGGCACAATTTTGTACAAACTTCTATGGGACATTACACAAGGAGAAAAAGAAAAACACTATTACCGATATATCACACCATTTGTGGTTGAAACAGTGTACTTGACTTGAAATGTTCAATTATGGGTGCTAATGTGCACGAAACGAATTTTCAAGTATGTATTTTAAATGTTCAATTATCTATCCATTTGTCCTTTTTTTTATGGATTCAAATATCTTTTATTAATTCGCCTTTTTTTTTATGGATTCAAATATCTTTTATTAATTCGGTAAATTAACAAGTTCCTAGAAAAAAAAAATACATGACTTAAATATGGCAAGTAATTAGACTGTAGGAGTCGAGTTTCACACTGCATGACTGACAAATTGATTTCTATTTCAATAGATGCAGTTATTATTTTTTTGCGGCTTGGCGACCAACTGAACAAACAAAGTACCCGCAATAATGGAACATTCTTTTTCTTTAACTACTACTTTTACCGTTTTAGCAAAAAAAAACAAAAAAAACTACTGTTCTTTAGTGAAATTTAAAATGGCGATATCCATTCAATAATTAATAATAATAGTAATAATACACTGATATTGCACGTCAAAATGAGATGTTTAAGCAAAATTCTCATCGAACGACATAATAAGTGTTTTCTTTTTTTTTTTAATGAAAATATTTTCGGGTAGTTTTCTTCTTTTTGAGTACTCGCTTTTAGAATGCCTTTTGTTAGCATTTGTCACATATATTAGCAATGCCCTCAATAGTCACCTGAAGGTTATATTAAAACTATAAGTTTGGACTAGATCAAACAGGTCGGCATAAGATTTATCGTTGTTAGCTCAATCTCTACCCATTTTAAGTGTTCGGAATGGAGTGGAGGTGTATGTACGAGCAATAAAGCTTTCTTCGACCAACCCGACTTAAACAGATTTTATTTATTTATTTATTTTTAAAAATAAATTATAAAAATTTGGACTGGTCTCAGCCCGACTAACTTTCAAAAAGGGTTGGGCCGACCATTCTGTTAGAAATAGTGTCTTTAAAGCATGAGATGTAATAAGGATATTTATTATTTAATTAATAAAATAGTTTATTTGTTATTTATGTGCATGTATTATTGAATACTTTATGAATATCATTGAAAATTCCGCGATTATATATGTGACCTTAAATATTGTATTTAAGTGTTACGTATGATAGATAATATTTAAAGATAATAATCAAAATAATGTGCATAATGATTTAATTATAGTTATGAAATCTTTAATTAAAATATTATTAATACATGTCTTCCCATTAAGAATGAAATGATGTTATCCGCGTCATTAATATAGAGGGATATTGAATGAGTGTATTATGCATAATAAGATTATGTAGAACTGGAACATAGATACAATTTGATTTTCTAATAATTTCCATTAACTATAGAAAAATAAATTTGAGTCTACCGATGGTTATATATGGAATAATGTTAATTTTGAATTATTAGTAGACTCCTATTTATGTATTCGTGATTTTTATTTACTTAGTACGGATTTTGATATCCTAAATCTTATTCTTGTATCTTAGAAACATGATGAAATCGATAGTCGGGAATGCTAATATACGAAATGAAATCTATTCCTTATTCCTTGAAAAAGTAGAAAAATAATTCCTTTGAGGGTTGATTTTGTACTTGAATAAATAACAAGCTGGTATTCATGAATGTGTTTTATGAATATATTATTCATTAGAGAATCAATGGTACACAAAGATAAATGTAATTAGAGGTTAACGGATTTTACCTAGCTCTAATTATGAATTATTTATGGAATATTGATCTATATGTGATGACTATATGGAATGGACACTTTAGGTTCTTAAAAGCAAATTATGTTTATAATTTTGAAAGTGCAATTTTAAGTTTTTAGTGGAGTAACTTTTAGAATTAATTAATTAATTAAAGAGTTTAATTAATTATTAATTTTATTGGAGCTCATAATTATAAGTCCATGAGTCCCTGCATTATTCTTGTAATATTTGCAAGACAAGATGAATTATTAGGATTTAATATCATTTGAAATAAATAATTTGATTATTTAATTAAATTAATTTTGGAACACACTGTGGTGGGACCACAGGAGGTCACATGCCCAGACACAGGGAGGTGCAAGAGGCATGTGACACAGGTAGAATCCTATTGGGATTGAGTTGGTTGCTCTCCAAGTTATTTGGTCTACTTGTTTGACAAGTTTTCCAATCATATTCAAAAGGAAAGTGAAGTATGACTTTATTTAGATTTGAATTTGAGCTAAAATTAAAAACTGAAAAAAAGAGGAGTTTTCTCTCTCTCCTGCTACAAATTTGCGTCAACCACAGCGAGATCTCATTGTGGTCTGGCTGGCCAATAGTAGAGGGAAATGAGAGAATAGAGGAGTTTTCTCTCTCTCCTGCTACAAATTTGCGTCAACCACAAAGAGATCTCATTGTGGTCTGGCTGGCCAATAGTAGAGGGAAATGAGAGAATTTTGTTTCTAAAATTAAATGCAAAATTGTATTTAAATGACATTAAAATATAGTAGTAACCCATTTTTTTATTGCCTTGTCTTCAAGTTAAAGTAAAAGGGTTCTCCTAGTATTCTATAAATAGGAGACAATAGAAAATTAAAGTAGAGAATTTTTGCTTTCTATTTTTCCTAAGGTAGCCGAATATTAGAGAGAGAAAAAAGAAAAAAAGTTATTCCAATTCTCAGTTTTTTCACATACATGCGCTGATAGTGAAGGAATACAAATTAGTGAGTGATATAATCTGATAGTTCTTTATTAGAGCCCACACTCCAGGTCTTGCATATTTCAAGGACTAGACGAGAAAGATTCGGGTTTTCTGAGAAAGTTTGGAGCTTGGATTGTTCGTGGTCAAAGACCTCAAGTTATCCGCATAATCGTTCGATATGTATCTATATTTATAAATTAATATGATTAATTTATTATTACATAAATTAATATAATCTATAGAGTATTCAAAAGTTTTATGAAAATTTTTGTTATACACGATCCGCATTAACACCTTTAACTCAAACAGGTCGATCTTTAGATTGGACCGGACAAGCTAAACATTGTGCACTAGTTACACGTAGCCCTAGTATACAATAATAAACAAAATATTAAATAAATAACATATATAAAAAATATATATTTTTTAGTTTTTAATTTTTCTAGAATTATGTAATTAGACATTTAAAAAAACTTTGAGGATACGAAAATCTAAATTTTTTAGATTATTCCAAGTAGGCATAATTCTACCCTTCCACAAATTTCTTTTCACTTTGCTAATAAATGTTCGAAAGTTATGTAAAAAGAATATAGATTATTGGTATAATTTATTTATTTGCCCTACCATTAATTTTTTTAATTAAATAATTACACTAATAAAATAGTATTTATCAAGTAAAAGGTAAAAATACAGATTCATACACTCTTAAAGATAAATTTTACAATTTTTTCTTTTAACTTTACTAAAAGATGTTCGAAGTTCAATGAGTAATAATAAAGATCTCGCCATTTAGAAGATATATTTTTGAGAAAATTAATGAACTCACTTTTTGAATATATTTTTTTAAAATTTTTAACTTTTATTCTTGATTAATAACTTTGTAATTAATATAATTATTTAAATAAAGAATTATAATTAAGAGTAAAGTGTGAAAATCAAACACTCATGTATTTTAATAGGTATTTATTTTATTTTCTCAAAATTTTTTAATTGAAACTCTTTTTATCTATTTAAATTTCCGGAGTACAAAGAATTCTTACACAAATACACTACAACCGCCATCGGCCATACAACACTTTATACCAGCAATAATAATAAGAAAATAATAATAATAATAATAATAATAGTATAGATACCTGGAAAACCCTTTTCCCAGTTTCTCTCTCTTCGTCTCCCTCCTTTTTCCGCCCAAACGCTCTCGCGCCTCTTCAGGATCCAGCAGCTCTACCTCAAAACCCTAACAAACCTCCATAGCTTTGGGAGGTGAGAGAAGCAGCAGAGCACCTCCAATCCTCTACCTTCTCTCACCTCTTTCCTCCCTCCGATCCAGCTTCTCTCTTGGTCAGGTATATCCATCTTTGCTTGTTCTCCTCATTTCTCTCTCTCTCTCTCTCTCACTATGCGATATTTATCTGATTTCGCCTGGTGAATGCTTTTAATCCGAGAAATCTCTGCTGGATCGCCATGGCATCTCGAAGCCGTTGATCTTCACCTGTTTGTTTCTCGGAAGAATTTGAGGAAAATATAAACACGCTTTCTCGTTGTTGATTTCTGGTGTTGTTTTTTTCTTCTCTTTTATTTTCTTTCTCGAGCTTATTTATGCTGAACATCGGGAGTGCTAAACCAGGGTTTGATAGTTTATGCTGTAGCGGGAGAAATGGGTTGAAGCATTACCCTACATTATGTTTGTTTCCCGAGAAATTGTTTTAAGAGATTGATAGAATCCGTATTTCGGAGCTAGTTAATTATAAGATTATACAACAATATTTGCTGAATTAAGTATCTAGTCGGAAATTCATTTATGGTTATGGTTGATAGAACTTATGGAATCTCTTCAGTAAGATTTAGAGTTATTGAACCGATGGCTTACTGGTGCTTTTGGCACACTGGCATATTCTTTTAAAACATTTTTAATTGAGGCATTTACTTGTGTTAGTGGTTTTCATTGTTTCCATCGGCTTTTGGTGATTGGGCAGTAATGGCGTCTGAAGTGCAGCAAGCCCCAGCTGGGACTCCTGCTGCTGATGTTGTACGTATTGATTTCAATATAAACTTTGATTTGAATATGATCTCAAGCTTAATTCCATTGGTGTCTTGTTGTTCTGTTTGGTTACTAATCGTATCTGATTGTGTATTTCGTCGAGTTTAGGTTGGTAACGCCTTTGTTCATCAGTACTACCTTATCTTGCATAAATCCCCCGAGCTTGTTCACCGGTTTTATCAGGATAGTAGTAAGCTTGGCCGCCCTGAAGAAAATGGAATCATGAGTATTACAACCACCATGCAAGTGAGTCCCTATCACACTCTGTTTTTTGTTCTTAGCTCACCATGTTGCCAGCTTAAATTTGTGCTTGTTAGTATTTGTGATGTATTTATTTTATTGTAGAGCTTCTTACTGAATTTATTGGTAAAGAAGTGTTCTTATTGCGGAGACAAATTTTTTCCGTTTATTTGTTCTTTTTTATTTGGTAGTATGGGGTGTAAGGGCTCAACTGAAATAGCCCAGTTAATTGTTCTATGTCTAACATGTGGTCGTTTTTACTATCTCACACTTTTTAGAAAATGGAAATATGCGTCTTGCATACTCAGTTATTTTTTTTCCTTTTTTCAAGCGTTTCATCAGCACTAAGCAGAGTGTTCTGGGTGTCTTTAGAACTAGAAAAAATCTATTTTTCTCTTTTATTTCTATTTATTTATTCAATTATCTCTGGGCAGGCCATCAATGAGAAGATTCTTTCACTTGATTATGGGAAACTCCGTGCAGATATCACATCCGTGGATGCTCAAGATTCTTACAACGGTGGTGTGTTTGTTCTTGTGACCGGATATCTCATTGGAATTGACAATTCGAGGAGGAAATTCACTCAGAGTTTCTTCTTGGCGCCGCAAGACCCAGGTTACTTTGTTTTGAACGACGTGTTCAGATATGTAGATGATGATGGACAACAAAATGGGAACCAGGCTTTGGTTGATGGTGTTGAGGGTCCTCTTACTCCTGAGCAGGGTAATGTGAAAAAGCAGTTTCTTTTTGAATTATAGCTGTGCTTGTTGTGTATTGACGTTTACAATTCCTTCTTGCAGATTCTTCTACCGTGCATGAGAGTCACATATCTGAGCCTGCAATTGATGAGTCTGATAGTGTTGATGGGGAGGAAGTGTACAACCCTGAAAACGGAGAAGTTTTAGTTGAAGAAGAGGAAACACCAGAACCTGAGGTTGTTGATGAAGTTCCAGGTGATTCACCCATTGCTGAATCTAATTCCAAGATTGAAGAAGTGCCAAAGAAGTCATATGCCTTTATTGTGAGTAGTTACCATATAGAACGGTGCTTTTTATTATTCTATTTGTAATTGTTTACGGCAGTGCTCTCTTCTTTTTGTTCGCTAAAGTAGTATTTTTGGCACTAGCAGGTTTGCTATGTGTTTCTGTTTTACTCACCTCTTTCTACTTAGATGTTATGCTGTCCATTTGGGTGATAGAGTAATACTGCTATATTTTGTCTTCAGGTTAAGGTTATGAAGGAGAGTGCTGCGCCCTTTTCAGCTCCTCCACCTGCTTCTTTGAGGACGACTAACAAGATCCAAGAACAAATACCAGCTGCTCCAACTCCAATCCCAGTTCCTGAGGAACCGGCTTCTGACAACACAAATGTCAATGAGAATGGTAACAATACAGAGATTGAAGGTGTGTACCTATCTGTAGTTTTAGGTCTGGTTGTTAAATCACAAATTTTTGTGACATTTATTTGCATACATACTTGGTATAATATTCTTATTGGTTGTTTGTTTTGGAACAGCGGATGGTCATTCAATTTATATAAAAGGTCTGCCTCTAAATGCAACAGCTACCCTACTTGAGAATGAATTCAAGAAATTTGGACCTATCAAGAACAATGGTATACAAGTTAGGAGCCAAAAGGTATGCTTTACTCAATGGACATTTCTCTGCTGTTCATTGTTGACAATTTCTCTAATAGTTTAATTAATATCCGGTCTATCACCAGGGATTTTGTTTTGGCTTTGTGGAGTTCGAAGTGGCAAGTGCTGTTCAAAGTGCTATAGAGGTATTGCAAGAACTTTTTTTTTTTTTTTTTTTTTTTTTAAAACTGTGCTGCATTGAAAGTTTAAGCCAAATGGCGAACTTTAAGAATTGAAATCTACTTGAGTAACACTAAGAGTTTTTGGAACCACTGTTTATATGATCCGCTTTTTCTGTTTGCATGGGAACTCGACTAATTGTAACAAGCATGACAATTCTTATTACTTGTTACTTCTTTCATCTTTGTGAAATCTCATAATTCTAAGTTTGTGTGAAATATGTTATTGATATTGGCATGTTGCAGGCATCACCTATTACTATCAATGGACGGCAAGTTGTTGTTGAGGAAAAGAGGTCTACCAATCGGGGTAAGTTTGCCTTCATGGATTTCTTTCTGTAGTTGTTGGTTATTCTTTCTTTTTTCTTTTCTGTTTTAAATACATCTCATAAATGCAGCCCGATGTAACCTGGTGGAAAACAATTCCCCCAACTTCTCTATTGGTGCAGGAACTAGATTAGTAGACAGGATGATTACGTAGTTATGTTTTTGTGGTGTCAAAACTGGGCTGGATTAGCAGTACTTTTTTGAGAAAAACAAACTTATCGACTTTTGGATGAATTTGGGAATGATTACAATGCCAATTTAAGTAAAACTCTCAAAACTATTTACTGGAAATATTCATCTGCTTAAATTTATGAAGTTTGATTTGGATTGTGGGCACATATGTGGGGCCTCGTTTTTTTTTTTTTCCTCCTTTTTGTTTGTTTTTGCATCTTCTATTTTGTTTTGTTTTGTTTAATTCACTTGCATATCGTCTCATATGCAGGGAACAGCAGGGGAAGATTTTCATCTGCACGGGGGAATGGATACAGGAGTGAGGGAGCAAGAGTGCGTGGATATGGAGGCGGCAGAGGATATGGTCGTGGTGATTTTAGTGGCCGGGGAGACTTTGGAAATAGGAGTGGCGGTCGGGGAGGGGGACCAAACCGTGGAGGCGACGGATACCACAGGCCTGAGAATGGTGGACGTGTGAATCGTGCTGGTGGTTTGGCTGTTAATGCAAGTGTGAAAAGTACGGCAGTTCGGGTGTCTGCTACTGCTTGAGAAGTATAGCTTGGAAAGAGGTTGATTTTGTTTTGAGGTTCACTGATTTGTCAAGTTGTTGCATAGGATTTAGAGGGCTGTGTCCAATTTTCTATAGGATTTTCTGCTAACCCTTTCTTTCCCCCTAATTTTTACATGAGTGGTTTTGAGTTGGATGGTCATTCAAATTTCAGCTAGTATTGTAGCAATCCAATTAAGACAACATAATCTGTCCATTTTGGACCCTTTTTTGTTTCTCTTGTTTTCTGGTGGAAATTTTTGGACTTTTGCTCTTTATTCGCATGGCAAAATGACACTTCGACAGTCAAGTGCTCAAATCTTTAGCCTGGATTTTCCGCTGAATTATCCAATTTTTTCGTTTTCTAATTGATCGAAGTAATAAGGATTTAACGTGATATTCTGTCGCGTGCAACGTCTTTTTACCATTATCCTTTCGTTAAAGAATGTAGAATCGCTTGGGAGCAAACCCATTAAACTCGTAAAAGTTAGTTTTGTTTCGAACCTTGGAAACTTCGGTCCCATAACCCTTAAAAATGAGATTATTAAATAGATATGTCCCTAAAGAAAGCGCACGTCATTAGGTGGATTATGTTGGCAGGTCTCAGACGCGCAGACACCCACACTGGGTTTGTCTAATAACTACACACCATTGCTGCTTTAGTTCCATTCTCTCACCGACATCAGTCCAAATAATTTTCACATGCAATTCAAATTTTTTTACTATAATATTCTCTTATAAAAATTCAAATATAACTTTTTTACTATAACGTTTTCTCACATAAATTTACTTTTCAACTTACATAAATTTACTTTTTAACTCAACAACCGCAAAAAAGACAACAAGTCAATGAGACTAAACAAGTAATGAAAAGTGCACCCAAAAAAAAAAAAAAAACCTTAAAAGCAAGACAAATTGAGGATCAAAAAGATAACTTTATACATTATCAGACCCTGCTTCTTAGGAAAACACATTCCAGCTTCCACTCGTTCAACAGCCTAAAGATACATGACAAGAATTTCCTAAGGCGACTTCATCACCTTCTGAAGATGATAGGTATCCACCAATCTTAATAAATAATTAACGTCTCCCATTTTATTATACTCCTATAAACATGTTTATAAAGAAGCCTAAAATTAATATGACAGAAATATGCTACACTTGATTAATGCAAATATTCCTCTATTGGCGAATAATAACGCTTGGCTATAACATGCAACTAGCTCTGGAACCCACGAGATAGGTATATTGCCGTGGGACTGACTTGAACGGGCGGAGACCTTCCTTGTAGACATTTCAACTATGCGGTTTAGATACCGAAATTGCAGGCTTGCACAAAATCTAAATCATAGTCGACGTACTTTGTCCAAAGTGGCTTGAACTGGTTCATAGCAATATCAAGCCAAGGTTTCATATTCCCGTTGAAGTGCACAACTGCTGCATTGCGAATCTCCTCCATGCTAATGCTGGGATTGTAGCCGAGTCCCAGAACATGCCATGACTTGTCCAGTGGCTTTGTGGTAGAGTAGAATGTGATCAGACCTGGTGGCAATGTACCCAATTTCCACAAGGTACGGTTCTCATTCTGCATCACAATCAGCAACCATGGTTAATAAGAACCAGTGATCAAAAACAGTAAGGAAACATCAAGACATGATTACAATGAGAAGTAGACCATAGCATCAGCATGGTGTGATAATTATTCGAGCCTCTATCAGTCTTGCTAATCCTAAATTACTATCATTCGTGAGTTATACAGCAGGTCTCAGGCACATATTATGATAACTCAAACAGTACATACATCAAACATCAGAGTTTGCAATTAAACAGTTTTTGCAACATTATTTTTATAGCATAAAATATGTTAGGATTCGTTCAAACACCTGCATAAGATAAGTTTTTTTATTGAGAGAAATGGATGATTTCTTACCAGATTTTGCCAGTAGTGATACTCTTCTGTGCACTTTTCCCTTCTCCAAGCATCCAAATCAAAGAAGTTCATTCCATAGGCCCAAGCACACGCCTTTGGATTAAATTTCTCCTTAATCAGAGGGTGAGAGAAATTCATGTATTGTGCATATCGATGGAACGACCCAAAACAAGTCTCGACTGCCCCATTCACTTTTCCATCCATATCAATCTTCCATAACCCTGTCAAGTCCTTTTGGACCACAATATCATCATCCAAAAACAGAATTCTGTGCAGTTTTGGGTACATTTCTGGCAAATAAAACCTCAGATGGTTTAATATAGACAGATACTTGGGGTTTCTGAATTTCATATTGGTTGTGTCTTTGGTTGCATTCTCAAGCTTATTCTCAAAATAAAACTTTTGTAAGTTCGCAGACTCTAGTTGCCTAAGCACTGGCACATACGAAGAATTCAAGAATTTGTAATCCTCAACCGCCTTCACCTCAATGTGTGACCCGTTATAGTCCTTCAACTTGAACATAACTTGCATTGCCCCGAGATTCATCTTATCTGTCACGACATGGAACACATGCTTCCATGGCTCCTTTGCATTCTTCACTGCAGAATTAACCACCACCGAGGCTGCAACCACGTTATCCGAAAATATAGCATAATGATACAGATTTGGATCCTCAAATTCTGGTGGAGTCGGTTTCCTTTCATCCGAATACTTTTCAGGGTGAGCAATTCGCTCTTCCATCAATCTCATTGCAAGGCAATGCAAGCTTTTGGGGATTGATTTTGCAGCTATTAAGCTAGAGAAAGCTCCTTGCTTCTTAGCCTTGGTCAGCATCTCATTCACTTGGAAAATTGTATCCTTCAGCTTCTGAATTTTGAGCTGGTTGTCAAAGGATTCTTTGGCTTCGGAAATTACTTGTCTAGTGACTTTGATACGCTCTTTCACTTCCTTCTCGAATTGGCGCAACACAGATTCGTCGATGGAGAGTGCATCAGATGGCAACAAAGCTTGATATGAAGGCTTGTTAATGAGATCATTGTAACTTCGAGAGAGTTCGGCAAAGACCCTGACGAGCTTCGAGTTCTCCAGCTTGAGCTTTCTCGCAAAGACGGCGTAAGTGAGCGCCAGGGCTTTGTGATCTTCAGCCTGCTTCCGGATCTGGTCAAGGCGAGGCTTGAGAGGGTCTGATTTAAGCGCCAGCATGGTCCTCCTCGTAGTTCCGATTCCATAAGAACCCGAACCTAAACCCTAATTTAACAAATACCACCCAGAAACCTTGGTTAAAAGACTACAATCGTTCAGGCCATAAACACGTCTCTAAAAACTGAAAATTCTGCCAAAAACATTTGTGATTTTTTTCCTTTTTCCGCTAATGAAGTTCACGAAAGAAAATTGTTCTTTTCTCGGGAAAACATTTTGTCTACCGGCGGTGGTATCTCGAATTCGGATCTAGAGCGAGCAAAAGCTCTTTCCACGGATCCAAGTTAACACGAAAACGAATATGAAAATCTAACAAATCCGAGAGAAATCCAGAATATTGTAAGTTCTAGATTCTACGAAGAGAAGCAATTCAACACCGTAAATCCACAGAATACAAACAGATCAGTTCATTTTTCGTTTTCATTTTCAATATGCTCCAAATTATTAGGATCCATAGCGAGAGATAGGGGAAGATAAACAAGAACACTCACAAAGTGGCTCAGATGAGACGATTCGGTGCGAGAAGTGAAGAGGAAAGAGAGCGAGAAGAAGAAGACGACGGCCACAGCAACAGCGGAGACCAACGCTCTGAACGAAAAGCTCAAACTCCGGCCAAGTCCTGGTCCTGGGCGCGACGGCGCTCTCAGGTTCGCCATTTTCTGGTTTCGATTTTGCAGAGAGAGAGAGAGAGATCTCACACTTTGCCTTCCTTCTTCAAGGCCTTACTCTCACACTCTCTTTTTCAGGAAGAAACGAAACTCACGGTGAAAATGAGTGATGTTTATATTTATTTAAATTAAAGTAATTTTTTTTAATTTTTTATTTTGTTTTAATTTTAGGGAAATGGCGGATGTGAACCTGAACTGGCAACGAGTGGCGGTAACGCGGGATTGTGTTCTGACCGACGGCCTCTGAAGGAAAGTCTAATATTATATATTATGCTTCTTCTTGAGATTTATTAATGGACTGGTCAATACGATTGTTAATCAAAGAGAAATTATGTAATAGTGTAAGAATTAATTATCTTACTCTATCTAAAATATTATTTTTCGGATTAATGTTTTTTTTTGCAAACGGATAGATTTTAGTCTTATTTCATTAGTTATTGTTTCTGTTAATAAATAAATTCTTCAATTTTCACCGCTTAGAAATGGAATGGTAAAGACAAGGGTCTGCCTTTTGTGACTAGCAAGAACCAATCTTACCATTTCTATCAAAATAATAATAATAATAATAATAATAATAATAATAAAATAAATAAATAAATAAATAAATCTTACAATGTAACATGTGGTAATGGCGCTTCCCATAAAAAAAAAAAAAAAGAACAAAAAATGTAGTAATGGCGATGTTATATGAATTTATTTTGTGTGATCATAATTTTTTAAAATATGGGATATTGGTATACAATAGATAAATTATTTGCTGTTCACTTTCACAAAATTATTGTTACACAAAATAAACATAGTTTAAGCATTTGCCTCATATCAATTGATTGGTAATTACAAATTATGATTGGAATAAGATCCTTTTTCTTATCCAACAAACAAATCTCCTCCATTTTGAGTTTCGACAATCTCTTTCTAAGTCCATAACTTTGAAGATTTTAAATTAATACTGTTATTTATTCTATTGAGTGCGTAAATTATAGAATGTTGTGTTAGTTTTCTTTTATTGTTTTTATGTTTTTGAAGGATTGCTACGTCTTTTATGCGAGAAATCAGGACCTCTTAAGGAAAAAAAAAATCTTTGCAAATCAATTTAAGATAAATCATTATTGTTACATTTGCAATTTCTCTATGCATTTTCACAGTTATACAATTTCTATTGACAGTTAAGTATATAGTTTATACCCTATATTATTTCCTTTTAACCTCATTGTAGTTGTTTTCTTTTTTCATTTTGAAATTAATAGCAAATTGTTAAGTGTAATTTTTTTGTGCATTTGGTTAGAGGGAGGGAGAGAGGTGATCCATTGTTTGATTGGAGGGGGGAAGTATAAAAAATTCAACAAATCCATCAAATTTAAGCTAAAAAAGACTATCATGATAAAATAAAATAAAAAAACAAAATACTAAAATGATTGTTTTATGTTCCACAGAAAATTAATATTAAATAATAAAATAAATAAATAAATTAGAATTTATCGTTTTAAATCATCATCCCTCTTATCAAATAACTTTATAACGATAGTGCTTACCATCCTTCTCACATTTTTCATCCTCATAAATCTATCCAAGACTCCTACCAAAGATACCCTTAATTTCTTTGTCTTAATTTGATTTGATTCTTATTTTACAAAGTTGAGAAAATTACATCGACACTTTGATCAAACTTAATTAGTACACCCCACGACAGTCAAAATTTCGAAAAGTGCCTCGACGTCCCTCTCTAAAATGATAAATGCCCATAATGTCCCTCCCTTAAATTTATTAAAAATACCCATAATGTCCCATCTCCAATGCAGGTGCACTGCAATGAAAAAATAGAGAACTAAATGGGTCGTTTTGTGGTCCGTGGATTTAATTTAATACACCAATACCGGTTCATGAATATATCGTTTCATTTTACAATTATAAGACCGTTCAAAGTTTTCGAGTATCGTTAAATAATACTAGCATTGCAAGCTTTAACATTCTCAAGTATATCGTTACATTTTACAATTCCAACATTCAAATTCGTAATATATGTATATACTAGTTCGTGTGATGCACGTAAGGAGTAATTTAAGTATTAAGTTTTAATTACCGTGTTATTATTAAAAAAAATTAATTTAGGTAAATGAAAGAAAAAGTTAGAAAGTTGGCAAATAACGAAAAATATAAAACTTTAGAGGAAAAAAGCAACAGATAAAAGAGAATATGAAAAAAGATTAAAAAAAAAAAAAAAAGATGAACATTGATTGAACAGTGAAAAAACTATTTAGAAGTGGCGAATTTCAATCAAAACTATGCCGTTTTGGTTGAAACACTATGCATTAATAGTGAAATAATTCACATTTCTATATATCGTTATAGATTATTGATGTATTCTATAGTATCCCGGTGTTGCAAATTATTCTCTGGACAATGAAGGCATCCAAAGAAAATAAAACCAGTGGATTTGCACCCAACTTAATTAGATTATATCCCAATTAGTGCCATTTTAATATGCAGAAACTAAAGGGAAGAAGACAAATTCCCATCTTTGTCTTGTTCTAAGTAGTCACAAGTGGTGACTGGTGAGTATGCACAACAGCCAAATTCATGCTAACAACGGTATTGGTAGGTAGGTGAAAAGAGACTAATAAATCTGCTGCATACTATATAAATAATGTAGTTGGGAATTCACATATGAAATGCAACAATGCAAATTCAACAAAAAGAAGAGTTTCTCTCGCGTGTAAAATCATGTACAAAATGATCTGCTCTTTATGTCAAGATGACAATAATTCATGAAATAAAGATGTTATTTTTCACCAACGCTCCAATTGAACATGTGACCTTTTCGTAGGAAAAGCAAGCAACAAAAAGCTTAATCTCCAAGTTTCACCACCATTTCTCTGGTTAATTTCAAAAGAAAATTATGCAGATCAGTAGCACTGATTATGCGTAATGTTGTAAAATTTCAAGACAGAAGGAAACAAGGTCCCCAGTAAGAGAGGACTAAAAAAAGAAAAAAAAAAAAAAAAAAGGACAGTAACCCCATCTGCCCCCATACAAAAGGCTCACAGAAACTCATCTGATTAATTTGAGGTCTTACCAACCAAATTAGATCGGTCTCTTCATGATAAATTGTGGAGCGTAATTATTATCTTAACAGAAGACGTGACTCAGATAGGGTCTAATTAACGGTTGACACAGTCAAGTTTAAAAAAAAAAAAAAAAAAAACATAGAGCATTACTCAAAACAGCACAACACTGAGCTTAATTTGGAGGCCTTCACTTGGATGCCCACACGCAATGAGAACTTAATATGTAATAATGTTTATGGGCAAGAAAATGTTACATTGACGCTGTTGGATGCAAACTACTGTGTCTGGTTTTCAATGAGAGAATGCATGGCACATGACCCATTTAACTTGTGGCCCTAACTCCATTATTAGACAAAGCAGGCTTTTGCTTAATTAAGAGCCCTTTTATTATTCATTTATTTTTCTTTCTTGACAAACATGTATTGAAAAATTTCTCTTGCAGCTTGTGAAGAATAGAACTTCTTTTTTTTTTCCTCTTTTTTTTTTTGTAAAATTGGACCTTATTTGAGCATTGAGATGAAGAAGATTTTAAATTTGTGTTCTAATCTTGATCTCAATGATGATTCTTGAACTCCAATCTTGGTTTATTGTTTGCTAAAATTATCTACTAAGTACAAACTAAGAAAGAAAGCATTTCATTGAGACAGAGAAAAGAGACATATTTACTTATAATCCTCAATCAAAATACACATTTTCCTATGCCAATCTGATTAACATAGCAGAAAAAAATAATAATAAAAGAAAAAAAAAAAAGAAAGCTAATTCAATGGTACCGCTTCTTGCCATGCCTGCCCACATTGGTGATCCATCCGATTCCTTTCAAGGCCTTGGAAATCTTGACAAGATTAGGCCTTCCCATGCCCAAATTCATCTTCCCTGCTGAGAACTTCAAGGCCTGTAAGCAGCACAATTGCCCTTCTGCCTCATCCTCATAATCATCATCATCATCCATATCACTATACTCAACAGAACCCTTCTTTCCCTTCTTTGAGTTGCTCCTGCTGGACTGAACCTTTTTCGATTCCGACGTCTCGTACGTCTCCCAAAGCAAATCCATCCCTTCACCGCCGTCGACATTGTGGCGCTCCTCGAAGAGCTTACACGCCAATGTCCTCCTCCACTCCTTTTCTTTCCTCATGGAGCCAAAACTTCCAAGACTTGAATCAAATGTTTGAGAATCCTGATCCATGCTAGACTTCCAAGAGTACTGATGATCGAAATGGCGGTCAGGACTCGCAAAATATTCTTGGCTACTTGCTCTACTTAGGCTCTTTATTCTACTACCTATCACCTTGGATCCGCTTCTTGTGAGCAGTACTTCTTGTTTTTTATCTTGATCTTGATGATCAACTTTTTCTGATTCTACAATCCAAGGCTTGACTTCTGTGTCTTCTTTGTCTTCCTTTTTGCAAGACATATTTTCCAACTCTCTCTCTTCTTGCAAACACCATTTCAGACTGTCTACTGCTATTCCCACCATTGGCTTCTCAAATAATTCCTTCTCATCATGACGATGATCATGAGAAATCTCAACCGGGTTTTCCGCAGAATTTTCGTCCGACCCTTCTTTCGAAAAGACAGCAGCATTGTCTTCGTGGATCAAACACTTGTCAACCGGCGCTTCAGAGGCCTCCAAGCAAGTTTCTTTCACAACCTCCTCCAAGGCTTCAAAAGGGTCTTCTCTAGTTTCGAATGCCGACGTATCAAACACAACTTTATAAACTTCAAACTCCTCGAAACGTCGAAACTCCTCCTCGTTGTCATCCTCCTCGTTGCCGTCGGCTTTAGACCTTAATCTCTCCGAAACGGTTCGGTACATGGCAGCCAGAGAACCCAACTCGGGCTCGGAGGAATCATCTTGGACAAAGCTAGGAGAGACAGTACTGAGAAGAGCAACAAGGAGAAGAATAGTGGTGATGAAGAGAGGAGAGAGAAAAGAAAAGATCTTGAAGAGATATGGTGAGAAGAAGATAAAGTAAGAGAAGTAAAGAGGGTGTGAGAGGACGAAGAAACAAAGGTGGAAGAAGTCAGAGAGGAGAAAACTAGGCAAACCAGAGTATTTCTCGGTTCTTGACAAGGAAAATTCAGACATGGTTTTTGTGTTTCTCTCCTTGGAATCCAAGAGAGAGAACGATGGAAAACAGACCTGTGGAAAGGAAAGATTGGTTTTTCTTTTTTGTTTTGTTTTTTTCTTGTTGTCGTCGTGATGGAATGGTGAAGTGGGAAAAAGTTTTGGTTTTCTGTTTTTCTTGTGGAGATAAGAAAGTGAAGGGAAACTAGAATGAGAGCGGCGTGAATAAAGGAAAGAGACTGGGAAGAGAGAGAAGGACGAGAGAGATATTAACTAACATCTTCATCAAAAGCAACTTTAGAAATAATTCACAAAGCAAAAAAAAAAAAAAAAGAAGAGGAAATTAGAGAAACAGCTTTATGACACTTTACTAGTTTTTACTTTCCCCTTCTCATATATATCCGCAACTACCAATATTTGTTCCTTTCTAATTCAGATTTACCTAACTAATAAATCCCATCAAAGCCTTAAATCGGGTTTACTGAAAAATAAAGATACAATTCCATGCATAGCAAATTAAGTACTCCTCATCACTAAGCATCTTTTATGTGTATTCATATATACCAAAGCCAATTCTTGTGGCTAAAAAGATTACTAACTTGTTAAGGGATAACAAACCGCTATAGAATTCCAAATTGATGGCCTGATGGGTACTTTTTTTAGATGGATCATTTGGTAAATAATCATGTTTACGGTTTTAAAAATCATTTTACAGTTTTACACTATGGGATCTGCAGGTCAACAATTATGGCACTATAATGCACAACAAGAAAAGCCATTGAGAACAGGAAAAAGAATTGGTCGTGTAACAATATTGACTAATCAATCTTCAGGTCTTCACACAACGGAAACTGGTTACTTCTTATTTAGAAAACTGTCAATTTTCGTGGATTATTTACTCCACTTTTCTTGCTTCCGAATCTCTATACTATTGATAGTAAGTACGAATATGGAAGCCAAAGTAAAAGTAAAAACACTAGTGATGGGAAATTTCCTAAAATCATTTCTGACCAAATTTCTACGTGATATTTCTACCTAAAGATGATCCATGAAAAGTGACACATCCTTGGTTTCCCAAGGCCGTTTGTCGCAATCTAAATCGCAATCTAAAGAAGGGGAAATTGAGCAGAACTATCTTCCAAGAAGCTTGATGTGCTACAAAAGATGAACCTGTACTGTATGAGTGAGATCCAACTACAAACAAATGTCTTTATCAAAAAATCAAATTAAAATAAAAATTTATAAAAAAATACGATCACATGTCTTCTCAAACAATAACATTTTCTCCACCCACATGGATTTAGACGTACCAAATTTGGACCATTGTCGTGTTACTCAGCTCAATGTAGAAGCAACATTGTAGTACAAAAAAAAAAAAAAAAAAAAAAAACGGTCATTTGGGTGCCTTGTGTATGTAGAGGAATAGTAAGGAAGAGGGAGACAAAGGTGATTGAAAGGTTGGGAGGCTACTCCTGGTGCACATGGGCAGCCACTTATGGTTACTCAAGTGCATGCTTTGCATGCACTCCTTTGTCCCAGGTTTCTTTTTCATTTTTTTCATTTTTTTTTTCTCACCTCATAATGGGACCCTCATGTCTGTTGTTTTTCGTTCGGTTAGGAAATGTGGTATCAATGAAAATTCGGTAGATTATCTTTTCTATGTTTGACTAATAAAGCATTGATCTTTTTGGGAAGAAGCACTCCAACATTCTTCAGATTGTTTATTGGAAGAATAGCATTTTTCTGTTCGAGATGCTATAGAAAGTAGAGCTGTTTGATCTAAAGTCCTCAATTGATGAGAAAAGAAGCGAAAGATGAGGGTTGAAAACCACCATTTTGTATCTTGGGATCTCCAAGGAAAATAGTTAAGAGCTTTGAAAACTTTTTATCAAGTATACATGTGTATACTCTACCTTGTATCCAAATTCCTTGGAATAAGGACTATCTATATGATTAGCATATTTTCCTCTACTTATCCCAGGCTCAAGATATGCATAGAGCAGTAGAACCACATTCTATTAATGTATGGTTCTCATCACCCAACTGGTGCTCTCAAGCATTTTCCGTACAAGAGCTTCCATGTATCCCAAGCCGGCTATAACTAAAATGCCTAGCTAGTTAAATTCACCCTAGATAAACATTTAAGCAAGTTTATTACCCTGACCCCACCGAGTTTTTTTTTCTTTTTTTAATTTCCTTTGTTAGGGTGGGGAGCGGAAAGGACAGAATACCACAGTCCCCACCAAGAAATATTTACGCAAGAATGGGCAACACATGCTACTCCCTACAACCACACTGGTTTTCACATTATCATCGTTTTGGCCGGGACTCAATGCTATAACTAAATAGATAGAAACCATCTTAAACACTTTTAGAGCCACAGATTGGTAAAGTTTCAGTCTCTGATTAGGCACATGCGATCTTTTTGCCAAATGGATTATTGAAAAGAGAGAATTCTTTCTTTGCCCTCGTGTTGGAATGGTAATAATGGCTACACAATCATGATTAGTGGCCCTAGAGTTGACAAATCTTAAAATGTGTCCCGCGAACATGAAAAAGTTAGAAGCTTTAATTTCTGCTCAGACCAAAGCAAAAGAATACCACGGTCCCCTTCCTCTCCAACCACTAGAGAAAGGAGATGCATTTTTTTTTTTTTTAAGCTTTGGACAAGCATTTTCACCCACTATAGAATCCTATATCAACAAAAGATTTAAGAGTCAATAAAGTAGATAACATAATGAAAAAGAACATTCCAAATGACGCGGTTTATGGGATTTAGTGTGTGGTGGAATTAGTGAGAGAAAATACTCTATTTTTGTATCCACCAGTTAAAGGAGAAGAGATAAAGAGACCAGAGATAAAAACATGATAAACAGAGTTGTCTGGTAGAGAACTTAAAGCTTCAAATCAAGGCGGAGAACCGGGGTAATCAAACATGAAAAGAAGCGTAAAGATCACCAGATACCAATAAAATTGCAAACTGACAAATAAATTTCACGCTTTTTTGTTTTTCGTTCCCCAAAATTACCCAAGAGTTGCAAAGGCGTCCAAAAAAGTGTCATTAACAAGCTTACTAAACATAACAACCACATCCGAATAGACACTTCATTCTAAACAAGCTTTCATCAATTCATGGCAGCTCACAGCCTTTAAAAAGCCTACCAACTATCCAATTGAGAGAGCTGACATCCCAAGCTGCTTTCACTCTGTCATAACAGGCTTGTTCTCATTCGCTTTAGGTTTGTGCTCCTTTGGCCTCTGCTCTTCTATTTTCCTGAGAGGAGAAAACGGAAGGTGGTACCCACATGTCAAAGACAATACAATGAACACCCAAATGGGTAAAAAAAAGGGGTCAAAAATTCATTAAGGATTCACAGTAGAGTGATAAAAACGTAAGTTGTTTGGTAGGATGGAAAAGTGGAGAGATAGAAGGAATCATGTGTCCCACTATTTTTTTCTCCCAGATTTTTGGACAGAAAACTTGTTACAACTTGCATTAGAAGTCAAATTGCTTTCTTGTCCTCATTTTAAAATACAATAATATCAGCTGATAATAGCGATTAAACTGATCACTCATTCTGAATCATTCTATATTACCAAACAAAATAAAGAAAGAAAAAACAACTTCCTTTCTTTAATTCATATTTTCTCTTCCTTACACGGTTTCTCTCCCTCCCTTTTCTTTCCCTCGTACCCAACGGAAGATTAGATTAAATCTCAAATGTATTAAAAGATGATACATATCTTAGAGGAGATAACCCTGGTTGGTTTCCAATAAAAAGCATGCATTAGTAAAAGCATAGAAATCTGGTTTTTGCATTAATGATCAAAAACTAGAATTCCCAATACATAATATCCACGAACAGTTTATAGCAATTTCAGTGTGAAAAGAAAAACCAAAACATGAAAAGACCCTTTATAATAAGAAAGAATTCTTAGTTTGTAAAATTCCGCTGCATTTATTTGCTTGAATGATCCAAGAAAAGCACAAAGGAGACCAAACAGAACAAACTAATCCATATGTGAAGAAGGGAATTTCTCGAATGAACATAAGGAACATACCAATCAAGTAAACATAAAAAGAATTCAAACTATTTACTACATTTCAGAAATGTAGTATTATACGAAATTCAAGGTAATACCAGTTTTACTGTTCTATAAACAATATATCAACAGAAACAGCAATTTGGGAAAATGTACAAAAGTAAAACAATAATAACAATCAGATTACACACTAATAACAGAGTTATCGAAACATTACGCGACAAGAAAAGTTCAAAGCTTGTCAATAAGCTCAAAATTTGATTCGTCTTTAACTAAACATCGCAGTTGAGTAAAAAAAAAAAAAAAAACAAACAAACAAAAACAAAAACAAACAAAAGAATCCTAAAATATTCAATTAATTCCAAAAGCACAAGCAAACGAAAGAGATTTGGGAAATGAGATACCTCTTATCGGAGGAACCTCCCTTCTGGCTGAGGAAGGATCGGAAAAGAGGAGAATTGACGTCGTAGATCATCGTCGCCGTTTCTGTCTGCTTATTTCGCACCCAAAAAATCAATCTCAAACCCTAACCCTAATTCTCAAATGTTTTGCGCAGCTTCTGCAACCTTCAGCTTCTTTAATGGTTTGTCTTGTCTGCAGTACTTTTGCCTTTATATTGCGTATGGACCGTATGGCGGTGCGGCCTGTTGTTTGGGAATTGGGCCTAATTCTGGGCTTTTGGAAAAGGGCGCTTTACACATACAAGTGAAGAAATTGGGCTTTTACACAGCTAGCAAGAAAATTGGGCTCTTTAGACATCTAGCAAGAAAATTGGTAGCCTTGGGACTAAAGAAATCTACTAATTAGTGATTTTTAGTTAATCGATAAATTAAGAAACTATTAATTTATTAATTTATCAAAATAAAATGTCTCTTATTTTCTTTTTTTATTTATTCAAATTAACAATTTAATGTACTTAATTAAATAAGTAATATTAATTGTGCTTTTTTTTTAATGAGAAAAGCATATGATTTGTTATGGTTTTGTGCAAGTCTATTATTGGTGTTATTCTAAATATTTAGGTGTCATTATTATCTTTTATTTTCTCTTTATTTATTGAATAGCAATTGTTTATTTTTTAAGTTGAGTGACATAAATAATATTTTTTTACCGTTTTAAGTGGTATTTCTGATTTTTTTCGCTTTCTTTATATACACCACGAGATCGAACTCGCAACTTTTTCAAAACCCACCGATGCCACTAACTTTTGTGCTTATTTAAATAATTAAGATTTTTATGGGGAAATTTCATTGAAAGTCTCAAATGACCCCAAATACAAGGGAAGTCGACCCCAAACAACTGGATCCACTAGAAAATTGTCACAAGTACAATGACAAAAACACGTACCGAACCTCAATGGGGAAAGACCCGTTTGGTAAAAAATACTCAAGCATGATCAAAGCTCTTTAGAGACGAAGTCAACAGTCGATGGACTAATCCAAACGACTGAAACCAACCCCCAAATAAAGGAGACATAAACAACACGGGATTGAGAGATCTCTAGACGAACATCACCACCCACACCATCAAAAATTTAACTTGATTGGATGAGACACACAAACTAAATTGGAAGATAAGAAACCACCTTTGTTATTACAAAACAACACTCAAAAAATGGCGAAAATGACGTCGCCGCTCATTTGTAGCAAAAAAAAAAAAAAAACGTAAAGCATCGCTAACACAAACCTCCGATAACGACGCACCGGTGAGAGGATTATGTGGGAACGGAGAAGGCTTTGAAAGACAAATTGCATAGCAGGATATAAACCTTCAAACAACAGCGCATATTTGCATTCACCCATCTTCCAGAGACGACACCATCCTTATCAAAGGGAACCCGTGCCTGCTAAAAATTAGAGAGCCAGTTTGCTCTTTAACTAATATTTCTAGATTGTATATTATCAATTAACCCTTTTTTTTTTTTTTTTTTTTTTTTTTTTTAACGCTATAGATAAACTAGTTATAGCAGAATTCTTTTAACACAATTAGTTATGGAAAGTTATAGCAGAATTCTTTTAACACAATTAGTTATGGAAAGTTATAGCAGAAATCTTTTAACCCAATTAGTTATGGAAAGGTCATAATATCACGGTCGCATATTTAACATAGTAGTAAATCCACACTCCTAAATTCCTAATGCTGTTTAGAATTTTAAACTCCAACCCTGATTAGAATAGGAAGAAATATATATAAATATATATATGTATAAATTAAATTTCTAAATATTGCATGAAAAAGATATCCAATCCTGTTACCACTGCATTGTAATAATTTGTTCATCATCAGTGCCAGCGTGGCCATAGCTTGGTAACGCACGAGTCATTGTAATAATGTCGAAATGGTGCCTCTTGATCAAACAAACGCAGTTGGTACAGAGAATTTAATAATCGAGCTAAACCACATATAGGCATATAATACAAGTATACAATTCTCTTAAATATTCTTTATTACAAACTTTATTATCAAACTGCCAAATCCGACCGTCAGGATTCACGCCATCAAGCGTGGTGTAAGATTCACAAATATGAGATAAGTGGGTCCAGGCGACAATACATCAGCGGGACCTACGTTGACTCAGGGAAGCCTCCAAAGAGAAAGGCGTTGGGCGTATTCTAGTGGTACAAGTGGCTGAAAGTATACGAACTTTTCAAACAGTAATTAATAAAAGATAAAAATAAATGATTAGGTGTCAGCTTAAGTTGTGGTTCAACGGGTTAATCATTGGGTCAGAAAGTCTTCATTTTTTATTTATTTATTTTTTGATTGGAGAAAGTCTTCATTTTGTATTATTTAAAGATTTTTTTTGTATATAAAAATAATAAAAATTAGTGTAACGTTAACTCATAATTGTTTGTTGGTTTGGGCTAAAAGGGCCGTGGGGGTTGGCGGGACAATATATCTACAAAGGGCTTAGATGGCAGGCCGTCCACCCAATCAGCGTTTCGTCGGTGCCTCTCGCTCGCTAACAACCAACTTGCCTTATTAATAACTCTGTCCACCACCCTGAAATTGTATGTTGACCATTTTAGCCCTCTTCCCTCTCCATAACTACGTTCAAAGTCCAAACTTTATTATATCATTACAATTTATGGGAATTATTTTCTTTTTTCTTGTTTCTTTAGGAAAAATAGGAAATTATTATTAGGTGTTCACATGTGAATACTCCAAATTGATATTTCAAGTTATTATGTGTTTTATCAAGTTACGTTATTTTGCTAAACGAGGAACACACAATGGATTAATATAGACTTTTGCATCCATTGTGGTCAAGTGATGACTTTGCCTTCTTGGGGAGGTTTTTTTTTTTTTTTTTTTTTTTTTTTTTAAATGAGTTGCTAATTTTGCTTCATAAATAGTATGATATGGGCCTAATAATTAGCTCGTTTCAGTGAGGTTTTCACGCTTACTTCCAACAAAATACAATATAGAAATTAGCTTTTGTGTCATTTATAAGATTAATTATTCATTCATATCACTTTTATGTGTAAATTAAACAAAAAAATTTATATAAAAACAGTAAAATTAAATATGAACTTTTTAAACTTGTATTCTTCTAATTCATCCAAGAATACAAGACGCCCAAATGATCTTTTGGTAGTGTTGTCAAGGCTTTATTTGACAGAATTTTTACTTCTGCTTTTTTATTTTTGCATTTTCAGTAGTGTTTGGAATCATATTTTTTAAAAACTCAAATGAGACAAGATGATTTGTTGGTTTTGAAATTTTCTAATAAGTAATGAAAATGTTATAATGAAGTTTATTACATGTCTTAAACTCTTGTACAAGTTTTAAAGTCTAATCAAAATAGCATTTTTAAGAAATCATATTTTATGGTTTTGACCAATAAACTCATTTCTGACAGAGCATCCAAACACTAGTAGAAATAATTTTTCCTAAAGCATCTTTTAAAAACATTTGCCAAACAAGCTCTTATTAGCACATCAATGGTTATACCGCTAGTTCGTTATTACCTTGTATTTTGAATTAGATAAATGTTAGCATCACTTTGTTTATCACTTTTTCATTCACTATTTGACACACGGATTCCACTATTGTCCGCGTGTCAAACAGTGAATGAAGATAGTGACAAAAAAGAGCGATAAAAACAATGATGCTAACATTTATCTTTAGATTATAAAATAGTGTGTATGTACGTAATTCTTGTGTAACTTTGAATATGTACCGACTTTGCAGTCTTCAAAGAGAAAGCTTAAATCCAATTACGTTGTAATCTTGCAATTGGACATTGCAAAATATGGAATATCTAACAATCAAGCTACCTGCCTAATTTATAGAATAATCACTTTCTTCATAGTCATCTCATTCTCACACTATTAGAATTAGGAAAAGAGTCTCAAATTGAAATATTGCGAGTATTACTCGGAAAAAAAAGGGAATGCTTATAGGGCTATATAAGCAAATATTAAGTAGTATAATGGCTCATAATAATTAAACACACACGAGACAATATACAATTTGCTATAAAGTACTAAATGAAACATAAGCACACTTTTAATAGATGTCCCTAGTTTTGTTAAATTAAAAATCACCCATCTTCTATAAAAATTAAGAATTAATAACTTACGTAATTGAAAATTGTTACATTAAACATACGTTAGTAAATTGAGGATAACCAGTGTTTTATCAATATCGCTTATCAAAAATCAATTAAGGATTTATGGGAGTCATTTAAAACAATAATATTCTATTAATTTAGTAAAATTAGGGATATCTACATAAAATAACTTTAAAAAAAGGATTATTCACCGCAATTTATTTCAAACAACATATTTTATTTTCACAATTAATTGCATAGGATGATAGTCATACTTCGTCAGTATTTATTTGCAAAAGAGCTAAAATTTATGCATCAACAAATAATTTGAATAGAATTTTAGACCAAAACGAAAAAAAAGAAAGAGAAAGAGAGAGTAATTTGACTATGAGACTCTATCCTATGGCCCCGTTCATTTCCCCGATTCGAGTTTAGAATTCGAGTTTTGTTATAGTAAAAAGCTCTCAGAAACAATCACATCTAACTTTTTTACTATAGTAAAAAGCTCTCACATAAAATCACATCTTAACTCGAATTATAAACTCGAATCAGCGAAGTAAACGGGTTTGAAAAGTGAAATTCTGGCCAACAATAATTTAACTCTTTATGAGAGTTTCGACCAAGTCCTATAAAATGAAGTTAGTAATGTTCCCACTTGAGGGTTCTTACTTGAGCTAAAGCTAATTATGAAAAGAAGCAAGAAATAACAATTGGAGGATTCTCTTGCAGGATAAGAAGAAAAATCTATCGACGGGCCTGGAGATTTGTTAGATGTTCTTACAATTATGTTTATTATATTATTTTAATTTAATACGATGCAATTATGGTTTCTTATATCATAGTTTTTTTGCTAAGCGATATGATATAATAGTTTAACAATTATATTTTACTAGATAATTTTTTTGTTAGGACCACAAAAATAAATTATCGATAATTTGTTATTTTTAGTTGTCGGATTTGAACTAGAAACAGTTGGTTTTATGTATTTTTTTCAATTTCATATGATTTTGTCAGATTTAAAAGTCAAAATTAGATCCTCAGAAAATCTTATCGAAGAAGCTTCCATTTTATTGATACTTTTTTTTCTTTAATTCCTTAAAATATATTATTATTATTCCAATAAAAAATTGACCTCTTTTCTCCACTATTCCACCCGCAGCAGCAGTGTCAGGCTTAGTTTGGTATTGCTGTACATTTTAGAAAAATTATTTTTAGCTGTGCTGAAAGAAAAAATAGCTGTTACAAAAAGTACCTGAGTGTCTGGTAAACTATAATTATAGTAGCTGTGCCGGTTTTAAAATCAGTGTAATAACGTTTGGTAAATTATAAAGTTGAATTGCTGTGGATAATTAAAAATTACGACTATATTATATTATACTATAATAAAAAACATATAATTATAATATAATGTATATTTATTATCATATTTAATATAATACAACAAAACTATTATTAAATAACATATTATATAATAATGATATAAAATATAATAATATTATTAAAATAGTTAATATAATTACAATATTATAAAACATATTATAATATTACAGAAGAAATAATAATATTTCAATTATAATATAATTAAAAATTACAAGTAAACTAAACTATATTATATTATATTATATTATAATATATAATCATTATTATACTATATTAAAAAAATATATTATATAACTATAACATGTGTAATACACTAAAATAATAATTATAATATCATATTATATGATAAAATAATAATATTAGAGTTATTAATATAATTATGATATTATTTATTACAATATTACTCTTAAATTATATTATATCATATTATATTATTGTATTATTATATTATGTTATATTACGAGTCTGAATTTTAGATTGAGAGTATTATAAATTTTAAATTTCATTAAGGATATTATCGGTATTATGAAAGTTTCATTAATTGTACTATATTGATTCCCGCACAATTTAAAAATTAAAGTTGTATTTGGGCTGTTTTTGATTTTGACTGCAGATTCTTCAAAAAACACTTTTAAAGAGATTTACCAAACACTAAAATCAATTTTTACTACAAACAAAAACTGATTTTGAGAATGAAAATCAATATCAAACTTAGGAGACGTTTGGTTGATAGATTAGAACTATGTGATGAGGACCATTTTTAATTTATGTGTATTTTTTATGAAAAAAAATACATAACGAATCACGAACCATAATTCAAATCAAGTGACGAATCTCCCAACCAAACAACCTCTAAAGCCTCAGTTCACTCAGCCGCGGTACTAAACGGACCGTCCTTCAATCAATCCTCATGCTTTCGAAATAATCAAATTAAAAAACATAATCAATCACAAAAATGGAGAAAAAAAAAATCAAGGGTAATTTTGGTAAATTACTAGTGTTTTCGCATATACCTAATCCCTAATGTTAATTGGCAAGCTCCAAAGGGGTAGCGCTGAAATTTCAACCCTCTAAAGTACGCAGAAGCAAATACGTTGCCTTTGGCCTTGCCTCTCTCTATCTGTGTTCAATTCAACCTCCTGTTTCTCTCTCTAAAAGACTCCCTCTCTTTCTCTCTCTAGAAAGCCATAATACCACCACCAGTCCACCACCACCCTCCCTCTCCCCTCTCTCTCTCTCCAAAAACAAAAGATAGAAAGACAACAACAAATGGGAAAAGCGAGAAATAAAAACAAAAGGTGGTAGATGCATGAGTCACAACACAAACAATCTCCTCTTTTTCTCTCTCTCTCTTCCTCTTTACGCGCTCGCCACCTTCCCTTCCTTAAAATCCAAAATTCTCTTGCTTTCTTCTCCATAGATTCCGCTCTTCACTCCTTTGACTCTCCTCGCTCTCTTTCTCAGGTATAAACGCAATGACTTCGTCTTTCGACTGCTTTGTTCTTGGCCTTTTTCTTTTGTCCTTTTTCGTTTTTTTTTTGGTGTTTGCGGTAATGGGCATTTTTGCGTTGACGCCTTCGACGGGCCTGGAGGCGCAGAACTGCTCTTTTTGTTGTTTGGCTTTCTGGGTTCGTCTTAATTTTTTTGCTTTACATACGGATTGTTAGATGTCGTTTTGGTGTTTATTTCGCACTTGGGCATCTGGGTTTTTGTGCCTTACTGTTAGTCTCTCCAGGAAAGGTGGTGGTAGGTACGAGGTCGTTGTGGTTGACTTTGACCTTTTCAAGCATGGACTTCTTAAAAACACGGTCTTTAGGCCTCTGAATTGGTTTTTGAATTCTTGTTTGTGTTGTTTGGCAATGACGGGTGATTTTGATTTTAATATATTGGGTATTATGGTTATGAATGATGCTTGAACATGCAAAGTTGGAGATGGCTTAAGGTATTGTTTGCTAACAGTTTTATCAATCTTCACAAATTTGTATGATGATTTACCCAATAATCATGGTTGTCTTACGTGGCTCATGATGGTTTTTGGATCTTTTGTTTGTTTGTTTGTATGTATGCATGTATGTATAACTGCATCTATTCTAATTACTCTGTGGAATTTGTTAACTAAGTTGTGCATCAGTGTCATTGGTCTCAATTGTCACTTAGATTAAACTAGAACAGATTTGACTTGGATAAAATAAAAAGTTTTGGTGGAAGTTTTAATCCTTTTCCATTATGTTTTTGGTTCTATAGTGTGAGTTATGGAGTGTTTTTAGCTGGCAATGGAATTGTAGGTAGCCATATTTACATCTCTGATCTCTCTGGATGATTTCTTTTAGTAGGGCTTGAAAGAATAAAACGTTTATATGAGAGGTTTTTCACCTCACTCCTTATGAACCGTAGTTACTCTAAGGCGCCTTCGCCCTTTTTTTGTTTTTTTTTTTTTTCCAAATTGGTTTGAGACTTTCCATGTAGACATTTGTCAATTGACGAATTATTCTTTCCACTTCTTTCAATTTGGCATTTTATAGCATTTATTTTAAAAAATAAAAGGAAATCTTCAAAAGCCTTGATGTGAAATCAGGACTACTGTCTCGGCAGTCATTCTCTTCACCAAGCTTGCTTTGCATAATATGCAGGAAAATCTACTTGATGAAAGCGAGATTTAATTCCTGCTATGATCCCCTGAGCTACTCCACTACAGGGTAGCTGGGACCATTTCTCTCATTTTGTTATTAAATTGACGGCCATGGATTGGAGTTAGGAAATATACTAATAGAGTAGATTGCCCTTCTTAACTTATAAAGAGAAGCTGACCTTAAAATGATAGTTTATTTTCCAATTCAGGTCTGTGTACTTATTTACAATCCTTGTTTTATTTTATATCTAGTATTTAATACTCGCAATTTTTAATGCGTACGTACGTAGATAATGCGCGTGGCATACACACACATATACGCGCGTGTACTTATGTAGTTATTTGTTTAGATAATGACATATTAAATGTGCTTCTTTAATTCTTACACTAAAGGTTTACTTTTTTTTTTTAAAAAAAGAAAAAAAAATTTCCATCTAAAATTGAGTATTGCGACACGTCTGAAAACACTTCTTTTTCTTGTACTCAAGGTGTGAGGTGATATAGGAGAAGGGCATCAAGTGACCGTTGTGCATTGCTAGGAAGATTGGTTGCAACTATGGTGAGCTTAAGGAGGCGCAAACTCTTGGGATTATGCTCTGGTAAATTGTAGTTGAACTATTTGCGTGTAAGATCATTCTTTGTTGGTTTATCTCATGTTATCTGTTTCTTTCACTTCATTGTCCGGATACAAAAAATAAAATAACGGTTATTTATTTAGTTATTATTTATTTTTTAAGCTTTAGTTAAAATACAGTTAAATAGTTCGTGCTCTATAACTCCTTGACACTATTTACCAAATTGTTGGGCCTTTGCAGGGAGAAGTTCTGTCCTTACTCTGCTTCCTAGGTTTTCTGCCAATGAAATTGCTCCTGCAAATTCTACACAGAACACCAGATCTAACAGTGTGCATCCTGTAGCTTCAGACGACAGAAAAAATGCAGAGGGGGTAAGTATGGGTAACTGTTAAGCCACATTATAATATAACACTATTTTCGAACGTAACTTCTTGTGGTGTGCCCGAAGGGGGTGAGTATGGCTTAACACGAGTATTGCCTTCTTTGGCTTTAATTGGAATGTTGCTAAATTCTTAATTAATCATTTGGTCTTGTTAACTGGCACATAATGAACAGATATGATAAAAACGTACACTTCTCAACTAATTCTTTGTAAAAGTTAGGTGCGTAAGAATTCCATCTTTTTATATAAGAAAACTATATTCGTTATTATAAAATGTAAACAAAAAAAATGTATGGTTTCTATTTTATGCTTTGAACTTATCTTCTATTTATCATGTGGTTTTCACCAGGATGTGAGTGTCAAAGGAGAACCTGGATCATCGAACTTATCTGGTTCTGGCTTGTCTGGCTCTCAAAGAGAGCAGCAGAACCAACAAGTTGCAGGTTCGTTGCTTCAACTATATCTATGTATTGATGCTCGAGTCAATACTATACAAATTGAGAGTTAGAATTTTTTATTAAATGCACTGATACAATCTCTCTCTATATATACACATATTTGTACATGATGTGTTACGTAGATCCTATTATTGGAATCCATAAGAAAACTGAAATAGAATTGCGACAAGACGATGAGCAATTCAGCTTTTGTCTGATCATTTTCCATATAAATTCAACTCAATTTTATGGCTGAATTTTGCACTATTATTATGATGTTTTCCTTATGCAATTTCCTTCCCCGATGACTTAGTTTATAAATGCTTATATCTAACAATTTAGAAAGTCAGAGTTATCCATTCATAGGTCCGGGAATGAGATTTCTGGACTTCCTCTTTCTGCATCTTCATTATTTCGTGCACAGTCAGCAAAATGGTTTTTTTAAGTAATAATGTCCTATAAATCGGGTTTTTTTTTCTTGTAAATAAACGCAAATCTTTTATTTTGTTTGTCAAAACCATTGAAATGATTTTTTATCTTCATATATCCTGATACACTAACGTTTTCTTTCAGACTTTCTTTATTTTCTTTGAGAAGACTTTTTGCTTGCAATGTTACTTTCACAATTTTGTTGTAATTTTCATGGACATGGGTAAAATAAAATCCTCTTTGATGGGTTTAATCAATAACATGAATCTTGAATTTCTCAGAACTAGTTTCATCTTTTTATAGAGGTTACACAAACTATTAAATGTGCCTTGAATTTATGCTTGTGCGGCAATGTGACTTTATGACACGCCATTTCAAAATTGTACAGGGCCACCTATAAAACGCAGAAAGAGGCACAGAAGAAAGCATTTTCAAAACCAGGAACCATGTTTAATGAGAGGTGTCTACTTCAAGAACATGAAATGGCAGGCAGCAATCAAAGTTGACAAGAAACAAATCCACTTGGGAACGGTCGGTTCACAAGAAGAGGCTGCTCGCTTGTATGACAGGTAGTACTTGCACCATCTTTTACTTGATGAGCTACTACTAGCAGTACGTACTAAGATTTGATTTAAATTAATACCGAAAATATCAAAAAAAAGATCTCATTTTACAGTCTTTGAACCTTTCTTACAAACAGTTCAACGTCGAGCTTGTTGAAGTTTGGAAGAGCACAAATTTAACATTCTCCCGTTTAACCAAAGTGGCATTGTCTTCTATATTTTAGACGTTTCAGTAGTATTCCATTTTCCCTACAGGCCAAAGGAGGGGAGAGATTTTATTGGTTTTTTGTAAACCTTACATGTTGATGTACATATATTAACATATGTATTACATTAAAACTCACGACTCCTGATTTACAGGGCTGCTTTCATGTGTGGGAGGGAGCCAAATTTCGAGCTCTCAGAGGAAGAGAAACAAGAGCTGAGACAATTCAAATGGGATGAGTTCTTGGCAAAGACCCGGCATGCTATTACACATAAAAGTAAAGAAACTTTCCTCTCATAATGTATCGTAAGAATTAAGAAAGAAAATCTTTCAATCTTCTTTAGTTTTTACACGTCATGTCACGGATCTTTAAAGAGTTTACTTTGAATATATATATATTATATATATATATTCCAGAGCACAGAAGAAGGGTTGGAGCTGAGCCAGAGAAGATGTCTGAACCGTCGCCATTGGAAAACGACGATGACTTGGACATCAAGAATGAGGATTATGATCTCTCCGGCTCAGAAGAGATGGAGCCAGACAGTTCGGTCTCTTGAGAATTATGGTTCAGGCACAATGCATGGATCTTCAAGTTCTAACAGTAAAGTTTCTAGCAAATAGGCCTCCATTTTTTGGGTGTATAAAAGTCCCATATTAAGGGTCGATCATGGTAGATTTCATTAATGTTTTATGGTATAAGCAAATTCCCAATAAAGAGTTCACTATAGCATATACCTTATAGTCGCCTATGTCAGTTAATTTATCATTATCCCTGCTCCAGTATACTATTACTGAGAGCTATAGTTATTTATTATTAAATTTTTTCTCATTGTTGAGAACTTTCTAACTAAGTATCTATTCATATGTGCTTCTGTACTGAAAATTTCTTTGAGAAATTGGATGCAGAGAAGGGATCCTTTCGAGGGCATAATTAATAGTTTATTTAATTTATTTGAGTTAATCTTGTGTTGGATTTCTTTAATTATGTACCAGTGCAGACGACAATGTAAGTTTGCTTTCTCCCTTAAAGTTTGCACGAATTATTCTTTGACGTCAGATGGATTTTTTTTTTCTTTTCCCTTGAAAGAGAAAAAAAAAAGAAAAAAAGTTCTTTTCATGCCATGTTTTGTTTTGCGAAGCGGTTGCTACTTGCAACGACAACCAAATGGGTCCAGAATCTTCTGCCGCCGATTTATGTTGTTCACTTGTCCTCTCTTCTGTTACATTAAAACAAGCCTGGGAATCGGGCCATCTCTCTCGGTGCAGAAAGCTTTCCATGACCCTATTACTCCTTGTTGATGTGGTTTCTTTATTATCGTCGTTTCTTGAATTTGTTATCGTTGCTGTCGTTTCAAGGATTGCTGTCGTTTTTCAGGTTATGTTTTGAGGTTTTTGTCGCTTTAATGTCATTCGTTGTTATTTTGGCTAGTTTCTCGAACACGATATAAGTTATTCTCCTTTATCGAGTTTGCTGTTTAATACTATTGCTTGTTCTCCCCTTACGCTTTATGTCGTTTGTATCATATATTGTTTATCTTTACAAAGTAGTTGTCGTTCATCCGGTCGGTCTTGTGAGACCTTTTTAGAGATGCACCCCTTTTTCTTTCGAAGTCGTTTGTTATGTTGTTGTCAACATAGAATGTCGTTTCTGGTAGTCGTTCAGGTTATTCTCGTTTTCCTAGATGATATCGCTTTTTGAGGCCATTGTTGTTTTCATTTTGATGTAAGTCATTGTCTTTTACCCCGTTGATACCTTTTCTCAAGTTTTTATGGTTTATTCCGTCAATGTGAATCACGTGAAGCATGTATCAGGTTTCATTGTCGTTTATAAAGTTATTGTCGTTTTCTTTCATACCAAAAATCGATTTTTGGGAAACGCTCAGGTTATATATCATCTTTTTCCCATATGAGGTCTTTTTTGAGACCATTGTCGTTTTCATTTTGATGTTGTTTTTGTATTCGTTGTCGCTTAGTTAATGTCATTTGTCAAATTGTTGAGATAGCCGTCTTTATTTTGATGTCGTTTTTACTGAGCTGATATCATTCCTCGAGTTGGGTTTCTTTTGATGCCGTTCATCATGTTTTGGTCGTTTATACAAAAATTATGGTTTCCTTTGGGCTTTGACTGGCCGCCCATATCACTGTCGCATCCCCTCATGATGTCGTTTTAAAGGCCATCTTCATTTTCATTTTGATCTTAACTTCGTTGTCGTTTCAGTAACCGATGTCTGTCAATCCATTCCAAGCGGCAGATTAGATTTCGGAGCCGAACAACATAACCCGCCACAACCCTACACCGCCACAATTCCACCGCATTAGGTCGCTTGTTTACCTTAATCTCCTTCAATGGAGTCGGAATAGCCCAAAATAAACCGACCAAAGTATTGAAAATTTTCCAATAATCACATTAAAAAAAAAATAAAATGGCTTCGGGTACTCCGAAAACCCTAGAAGGAGAGGGTCCATCACAATCACCATCATCACCACCGTCCCCTTCTTCAACATCTTCTGATGGTTGGAAGGAGCGCGTCTTCATCCCCACTCTTCTCGCAGGTTGTTAATTGTTATTGTTGTCATTTGAATTCTTTTTTTTTTTTGGGTTCTAATTTTGATTGAAAATATTCAGCGTCTTGATGAGTTTATGATCATGGTTGAAATTTATATTGGGGGAGCAGGGATTGTCGGAGGAGGAGTTGGGTTGGTGTCGAAGCACCGAAAAGTTCACGGTCTTGCCGACATTGCTGCGACTTACGCCACTAATTTCGCCATCGTAACTGGTTGCTACTGCGGTAAGTAAAAAGTTTTATGCTTTTCTAATTCAATATCAGCTTTTTGAAACTTCCCAAGTGATCCGAATGTGTTTATACGGATTAGTTAGTTTTGAATTTCTGGTAAATTCTATAGCGTGATTTACCGCAGCTCTCTTTTTGACCTTGATCTTGTTTTGTAGTTTCTCCTTAGACAGTGTGTTATTGTGTCCATCTTTATGGTTTTTTGGATTTGACAGGGACGCGTGAGTTTGTTAGAGTGACCCGAAAATCAGACCCAGATGATCTTTTCAACTCTCCAATTGCTGGCGTTTTTAGTGGTGCAATTCTTGGGCGTCTTCAGGGTTAGATTCTATTTATATATATAACATACATACATATATATATCTATATATCTTTCTCACTTTCTTTATGTGTGTACTCTTGTGCTTGCCTTAAAACTTTAAGATAGAAAAAAGGATGGTATTAGTCCACTCTTATTTAGACTAGCTTCGACTTGTGTTCCATTTCCATTTTAAGGCCAGTTGATAAGTGCTTTTCTCTTTCATTGTAGCGTACCATTGACATAGTCTCTAATCTGGTATTGCAGAATGTCATATTGTTCAGATGAAGGGCATATGTATATAAAGTCTATGAGAACAAATATTGATATTAGAACTGGGAACATTTTGCCTGCGTTTGGAGTGTTGAATTAAGTTGTGTTAAGCTGTCGTATGTTTCTGCGTTAATGAAATAGCCTTGGGCTAGATGGAGATGAAAATTTCTCTTTCTCAGATTTAGGATGACATATAAGCGTAGTTGGAACATTTTTCCAGCTTGGACTTATTTCACTCCAACCAATGCCATTATCGACCAGATATTAGGTATCCATGGGATATATAGGTCTAGTTTCGCAGGGTCGGAACATGCAAGATTATTGTTTTAAGTCAATTGTTTTGTAAAAGGAGTTGATTGTTATTAACTGTTACATTTGCTATTGTTGTTTTTATCTGAAAGTTGCCTGGTTGAATTGTTTTGTTTGTTTTTGGCTAGGTGGTCCGGCTGGTGCTGCAAAATACTCGGTCATCTTTGCCGTTGCGGGGACAACGTTGGATTTTGTTATCAACAAACTAAAAGCGAGCTTTAGGGATATATCAGAGGAGGAGAAGAAAAATTGGTTCAAATTGCCTGATTGGTCTCCTATCCAAGTGCTTGACGAGGAAGCGCAAGCTAAAAAAGAGGCTCGGGAAAAGCAGCTCTATGCAGAGAGGGTACTTGGCAAACTAAACAAAGAAAAGTCTTGAGACTGCTTTCTTTTCTTGTCTTTCGTTTGTATGTCGATAATTGCTCCTGGGGGCTAATTTTGATGTTCTCCCCTACTCCCTCACGCTCTTGTGGCGTTTCTGTATAATGATCTCCATTCTGAAGTTGAGTTTGCGAATACAACTACATATTCTAATAAGTTATAAAAATGAGATTGGCGCAGTTGTATCCCACATACATTTTGAAACATCTCATTTGTTGGTCAAATGTTCACAAAGACTATTCTGTTTTGGAATTCGTTGCAAATTAACCTAGTTCTTCGCTTAGTTTGGTAGTACTGTGGATTTTAAAAAAATTACTTTTAACTGTGCTAAAAGAATAAGCAGCTGTTATAAAAAACAACTGAGTGTTTGGTAAACTATAATTATAGTAGTTGTATTGATTTTAAAATTAATATAATAGTATTTAGTAAATCATGAGGTTGAATTGTTGTGGATAGTTAAAAATTACAACTATATTATATTATACTATAATATAATATATATAATTACAATATAATATATATTTATTATTATATTTAATATAATAAAAAAATTATTATGATATATAATATAATAATATTATTAAAATAATAGCTGAAATAATTAAAAATAACGATTATATTATATTATACAATAATATAATATATATAATTACAATATAATGTATATTTATTATTATATTTAATATAATACAATAAAACTATTATTAAATAACATATTATATAATTATGATATAGAATATAATAATATTATTAAAATGGTTAATATAATTACAATATTATAAAACATATTTTAATATTACATAAGAAATATTAATATTTCAATTATATTATAATTAAAAAATACAACTATATTATATTATAATATAATATATTGTATTATATAATCATTATTATATTATATTAAACAAATATATTATAATTAATATATTATATAACTGTAATACACTATAATATATAATAATATTAGAATTATTATAATTATAATATCATATTATTAAAATAATTATAATATAATAATAATATCATATTATATGATGAAATAATAATATTAGAGTTATTAATATAATTATGATATTAATTGTTGTAATATTACTATTATATTATATTACGAGTCTGAATTTTAGATTGGAAAGATTGTAAATTTTAAATTTCATTAAAAGTATTATGAAAGTTTCATTAATTGTATTATGTTGATTCCCGCACAATTTAAAAGCTAAAGTTGTCTTTAGGCTGCTTCTGATTTTGACTGTAGATTCTTGAAAAATTCTTCAAAAAGCGCTTTTGAGGGGATTTACCAAACACTAAAATCAACTTCTGTTACAAGCAGAAGCTAATTTTAGGAGAAAAAAGCAATACCAAACTAAGCTGTCTTCTTGGACTCTTTTTAGGCTACTCAACCTTTGAGTCCTCGGAGGGTTTCCTGTTGTTCATTGCTCTCTTTTTGAGCTACAGTGGTCAAGGCCCAAGAGTGAGAGAGAGAGAGACTGACTGGTTTTCTGATCTGATTCTCAAGAGTGGAGAGAAACACAACAAATTTGGAAGTTGATTCGTTCTACAACCATTAACCACGATTTACAAAAACGTTTAATGGCAAAAACAAAGCCTACAGCGTGCTAAAATAAGTCCATAAAGATTAAACATTTTACAGGTGACGACAAAACAAGTAGTTGACATAATTTGGGAGTGACAGTTTGGCCATTAGCAGTGGCACCAGCCGTATTAACTAAACTTTCAATGGTCAGCAAACAGCACAAGCATACTCTATGGCGTGCCTCATTTTCTATGAAAGGAGAGAAACGAGAGAGACAAATTCGAGGGTGATCTTGCCCTTGGATCTCGTGTTGATGACGAAGTGTTCTGGGTATTTTCTAAGCAACATCAGCAAGCCGCACCACGGTTTTCCCTTTGCTTCAGAACCAGGATACTCGGGTGTAAGATATCTCCTTACTCGACTATGATGCCAAACGTTACCAAACTGCTCCACCAACTGAACAACAGTAGAAGCTGATTAAGGGCTCTTCAAAGTTCACATCACAGAGTTAACAAGTGTATATTTATAATTTATTATACATGCCTTGAGAAATAAATCTAAATGAATGCATGGAACATAATGCGTGCAGTGTAAATATACAACTAGACCCGACACAAGGACCCAAATTCAATTGTACAGTAAGTAACTACAAGCATGACCTGATGTTAAAGAATTTGTGGTTCTGTAAATTGAAAAGAAACGGAAGAAAATCAGTTTAGAAGGTGCTTTTTTCTTGCATAAGTCAAAAAGAAGGAAAGGGAAAACGGTCCGGGAACGCAAGGGGCCCTCAAATGACTTTTGCATCTAACATACTAGCATATTATAGATATACAGATGGACCAAATTGGAATGTGGAGACAGAAAAGACAGACTAATCACGGCTCCAATATAGAAAAGAACGTTATCTACTACAAAAGACACTTGCACCCATACGGCAGGGGTAGGGGTAGGTCCTTTCACTCGACAAACCCGGAAATGAAAGCTAGCACAGGATTATGAACACTAACCTCAGTATGAAGTTTCTCCATAGGCATCCACTCTCCAGGACCACAAAGATCAGAAAGCACAGTAGCAACAGATGACACCACATCTTTTTCCTCCAACTGAAGAAGTTGTTGGTTATCGGTTTCTCGATCGACTCTTGACCTTCCCTCTCCCTTCTTTTCTGCAGGACCAGAATAATACCACGCTTGTGAATGTTCATACTATTGGGTGCAAGCGTTGTATTGAATGGAATGCTGATTTCTTTTTGTCCTCGTTTCTTTTGACAGATAGTATGCTGGTAATTTGAATTCCATTTCTTTAAAAGAAAGAAAGAAAAAAAAAAGCCTAGGATATGGATACATGAGATGAACTTAAGAAACCATGAGAAGACCACAGAAATTGGAGGCAACTAATAATTTGTGGAACCGTAAGATAAGGACCCAAAATCACCTTAAAAAGAAAAGAATACTCTGCTGGAACTTTTAGCTAAGAATTGAACTTGAACCAACATTTCAGCCAGATTCTCCTCACCAGCTAAATCTGAACTCTAACCATTTTCAGAATCGATTCTAAGTAGATGAATACATATAACACACCAGCACAATTCATATCCATCTTATCTGTACATAATTTAAAATGCAGATGAAGTATAAATATGTACAGAGAAAACATCTGTCCAACTTGGTGACGAACTCTCCAAACCAAAATGTGCAAAAAACCTTGAGAACATAGCTTTCAACCAAAAACACTGAGATAAGTAGTTGCGTTCAATTCAAATATATTCTCATACCATCTCCGATGCAAATGTCAATGCCAATCCTATATTTGTCAATGAAAAAGTGAGAAAATTGCGTTTCATAGCTATTTCAAATGCTATAACTACTTTTTGTCATAGAACTTTTGAACTTGTAAAAGTAAACTTTTAAATATGAAATAATATGAAAATGACAACATCAACCAAATAATCAAATAGAAAAATTTGGCATATGCTATACTTGTTGCCAAATTTGACACGGTGCCAAATTTCACACCAAAATAGCATTGCACTGGGGTGCGATTTTCCTATTCAAATGCAAAAATTTGGCGTTGGGGGAACTGCATCCGAGATGCTCTCAGTTCTTTAGAATATCAATTAGGACAATTCTTCATCACAAAGTCCTCGACAATAATACACCAACAAAAGATAAAATCCCAAATAACAATTACCTATTCCAAAAAAATTAAATGGATAATAATCTTGTCCAACAACAAGAATCAAAGAACACAACTATAAGAAATTACCCAAAAATCATATCTTTTGTATATCAACGTATTAGTAATCATCCAAGAATCACATCCTTTATATCTCTTTTTTCATATACAATCCAAAACCATCCATTACTAAACTTTCCAACGAAAGTTAATTTCTCAGAAAGCTTATCTCAATTTTCATGTACAATCCAAAAACCATCCGTGTACTGCTATACTTTCCAACGAAATATTAATGTCTCAAAAAACTAACCTAATGCTCCAGCCTTGCCGCCTGACCCTCCAGCACCACCACCGCCATAGCCATAACCATCATAGCCATCTCTCCTCATCTTCTTCCCACTGCTTCCACCGCCAACATTCTCATCTTCATCGTCGTACTCCTCCTCGTAGTATTCCCTTCCCCTACCCTTCTTCACCATCGCTCCGGGCCCCGCCGCCCCCGGCCCAACCATGTGGTAACCGTAATGGGCCGGAACCACCGCCCCGGTCGCCGCAGCCGAGGAGGCGTGGCCCACGTAATGCCTGGGCCCGATCGGCCCGCCGAGGATGCTCCTAACGGGAAGGAGGAAGTAGAACTCCTTGTCGCCAATCTGGAGGAGATCTTGGGAGTCGAGCTTGACGGGAGGGTTGCCGGGGAGGTGGAGGACGCCCTCGACGAGGCAGCCGTTCTTGCCGAGGACCTCGAGGGCGAAGCGACGGCGCGTGAAGTCGTAGAAGATGCGCGCGTGGTGGCGGGAGATGTTCATTCCGCCGCCAAGACTGGAGAGGTCGACGTCAACGGTGGATTTCTTGGAATTGCGGCCGAGAATTATGGAGTAGGTCTGCATGTAGTACTCGAAGTCCTCGCCCTGTAGCTTCGCGAACCCCGCCTCCACGTCGCTGCTCGCCGTCGCCATTTGAATTGGATCGGGAATTTGCAGAGAGAGAGAGAGAGAGATCGGGGTTTGGAGAAGACGGGGAATGTGATGAACGGAAGACAGAGTTTCCCTAGCTTTTGGTAAATTGGTCTCAATTGTACATCTTTTCTTTTATTTTTTTTTGCCAAAAACAAATATCAGGGTAGCGTTTTTGTTCTGGGTAAAATGGGGATCAACTTGGAATTAGTGTCTAATACGGAGGCCATCTGTGGAAATATTCAATTCTTCTGTCGTTTCAAAAACTGCCGCCGTTTATGAAATGTTGTCGTTTACATGTTCATGTCGTTTTCAACCAATTTACTAATTTATTGCCGTTTCTTTTTTTTTTTTTTTAATAACTATTTATGTCTATTTTCTCGTTTATGACTATTTATTGCCGTTTCTAAAATAGTCATTTTCATGTTATTATTATGTTTTGTTATTTTTATTATGCTAAGGGGCATACGGTAATTTTGAGAGTGAGAATGAGATTCTCATATTTAATATAATTATTAGATTTTTTTAAAACTAGTCTATGTTTCACATCCTCATATTATGAGGTAATTTTAATGTTGTGTTTAGAATTGTTCTTGTTTTTTTAATGTTTTTTGAAAAAGAAAAAATAAAAACGATTCTAAAACGATATTTGACACAATTAAAGATAAAAAATAAAAATAAAAAAGATTTTTTGATTTAGTATAAAATAGAAGAGAAATGAAAAATGACTTTTTTGTTTTCATTTTTTCCTTTCTCAAGTAGATAGAGACATTAATAAATTTTTTTATGCTAAAAATAATTTATTAATAAAACTATCAAATATATTTTTAAAAATAATTTATATCTAAAATTAAAAATATTTTTATTTTTATTTTTATACAAAAAAATAAAATTATTTTAAAATCTTCTTCGGTTATTCACTTTTTCAAAAAATTAATATTGTCCTGGGCTGTTCAGTTCGTTAATTCGAGTTGAGATGTGATGTTATGTGAGAATTTTTTATTGTAATAAAAAAGTTAAATGTGATTATTTTTGAGAATTTTTTACTGTAACAAAACTCAAATTAATAAAATGAATGATGTCCTAATCTCTCTCTCACCCTAATCTTCTCTCTCTCTCTCTTTCCTTTCTCTTCCCAGCCCCCGACCGCATCTCTCTCTCACCCTTCTGCACCGCGCTTCCGTCGACCGACTGCCGTCGCCTTTCGATCCACCGCGCCGTTGCCGGAAAAATCGCCGCCGCCAGGTTCCTCTCTCTCTCTCCTCTCTCTAAAATGGTAGTACGAAGGAAGCCTGGAAAAATTGCGTTCTTTTACTTTTTTGATGATGATGAATGATTATTTTGATTACTATGAGCAATTGCTTTCAAATTGTTTTGATGATATTGATTTTTGGTGGGAAATTATGAGCAATTTCTCTTAAAATATCGTTAAATATGTGTTGTCTTTTCTTCAGTTTGTTATATTGTTTAATTGGAATACAACTTACTTATTTCAAAAAAAAAAAAGAAACAAGGTCATATTAGCCTATTCTGACTCTTGAAATGCAAAACTTGTTCAATTATATATCTGAAAAGTGTGAAAAGCTTACCTCAAAGTTTCAAGATGTCTAAAATGCTCCAAAAAGTTTCGATGCAGAGAGAGAGTCAGAAGAAGGGGAAAGAGGACAAAAGGTGAAAAGGAAGGAGAGAATGGGAGCATGAAAACGGCGAGATTTTCAGTCTTCGAGACCCCATAACATAAGAAACGAAGACCCCATAACATAAGAAAGTTGTGGAGAAGTTAATCTTTACTTTAACCTCGCCGTTTTCATGCTTCCATTCTCTCCTTCCTTTTCACCTTTCGTCCTCTTTTCCCTTCTTCTGCCTCTCTCTCTGCATCGAAACTTTTTGGAGCAAGAAGAGATTTTAGAGATCTTGAAACTTTGAGATAAGCTTGTCTCTCTTCAATTATGTTTGATGAAATCTCTTTTGCCATTCTGCTTTCACAACAACAACAAGTCTTAATCCCAATTTAATTGAGGTCGGCTATACAGGTCTCACTTTTTCACACGACTCTGTTCGAATTAAACTTTCTTGAAGGCCTAGATCTAGAATGTCTTTCCTAACGACTTCGGTCCACGTAATTCTTAGTCTACCTCTCCCTCTCCTAGTATTAGGTATAAGAATGTCCTCCTAAGCACGAACTGATGCTTCTAGCGGTCTATGTTGGTTTCTGCTTTGACAAAGAACAAAAAAAAAAAAAATCCCGAAATTTCAGTAGTTAGAAACAAGCCTATTGAGTTTTTCCTCCTAGTTCCGAAAACTGATGAAATATCTTTTTCTTTGTTTTGCCTGAGGTTTGGAAATCTTCTAGTTGTTTTGGGTCGAAATTCCTGATCTGCTGTTTTCATTAATCACTACAGTATAGTTTTCATTTTTCTTTTGTGGCGTTGGAAGCAAAGAAAAGTTTATTTTATTTTATTATTTGTTTGGGTGTTGTATTTGTGCTTGGCTTATTGTTGTACTTCTGATGATTGATTGGTCTAAGCACAGGTATTTTTTGCAAAAATAATAAAAATATGAAATCGTTGAGTTCTAGTGAAACTGCCAAATGATGTTGGGAAATTGCGCAAGGGCTTTGACATTCCGGTTTAGTATCGTATCGCACTGGGATAATGAAATAACTTCATGACCCATATCCCTTTCTGATGGCAGTTGTTTTGCAAAATGTTTTAATCCATTTTCCTCAAGTGCATTTGCTGAGGGAATATTTTGTTTCTTTGATTTAGTGTTTGTTGAACTGCAGAAACTATGAGCATTTGGTTGCGTGAATATATGTTATATTGCGTATCTCACTATGTGCATGTTTACCAAACTATAATCGACGTAATGGGGAAGGTAATGAGTTTGAAAAGGAAAGTAACAGAGAATGGGGATTATTGATTTCTTTTCTAGTCTTTACACCTATTAGAATGTGGAATGAGAAACAATCCAATTCTCTTTTACATGTGTACTAAACTTAAGAATAGGAATATTATGATAAGCTAGTATTTAAGTAAATTTAGCATTTATTCCTTTTAATCAGGAATAGATACAAACGGGTGCAAATATTGACATTCACTTTTTCTCATTCTCTATACTATGTGGAGCCCGCCAAACTGCGGTTCTTAATTTTGTAACTAAACCCATGATTAAGTATGAGAGAGACATACTCCTCCTTTTCCCTGTCCTTTTCATGTGGAGTAAACACACCTCATAGATAATCACTAATGAAAGCCACTTCCAGATACACGTTTCCTTTTGTGCTCGCAACATGTTGTATTAAAATGTTTTTTTCCCCTTTTTTATTTCACATGTTTTGTTAAATCTGGTGAAGGACGTAGGAGCTTCTATTTATCACTAAAAGGATGAAGCGCATTATAAAGATTATCACATTGCTGGTGGCCGTTTCTGCTCTGTGGATTGGTCTCTTGCAGACATCTGTTCTTCCTCATAGTTATACTTGGTTGGTGAGTTGTATCACCTTTCACTTTCAGCTAATTTTAATAGTTTTTTTTTCACATTTTGTTTTTCTCTTACATAAAACTCATTATTCCTGTTTCATCTTCTTCCCAGCTACCAATGTATTCCATTGTGTCTCTTGGATGCTATGGTCTATTAATGGTTGGAGTTGGTCTCATGCGATTTCCAACTTGTCCTCATGAAGCTGTACTCTTGCAGCAGGTAATTAAACTTCTTATATTGTTAAAAGATTACTTAACACGTTCTTATAACATAATTCCCAACTATTGATCTTTAATGTCGCTTCCTCTGGTATCATGTTTGTGGTGTTTAATGACTTGGTTCTTTGAGGGTGTAACTTGCAAGTAGGTTCCTCTAACTATTAAGCATAAAAAAGTAAGACCTCCTGCAATGCCAAATTAGTATGTCAATGTTAAATTTTGGCATTTGAGTGTTTTTTTTTTCATTTTTTATTTTATTTTTTTAAGGAGGTTCTCCAATGCATTGTTATTTTTTATGCTAAATTTGACATATGTTTACTTGGTGAGAATTTGATTGCTATTAGTTTGATGTGTTGATTTTTTTTAATTTAACATTACAATATTGTCATTTTCAAATTATTTAGAAATTAAAAGTTTGCTTGAGTGCCAACACTTAAAATTTTATGTCAAAAGTAAATACGGCATTTGAACTAGCATCATGTATTGGAGCACAAATAGAACAACATAGCAAATGTCTTTTCTTCACCTGTTTTTGTGTCAAATATAGCATTTATCATCAATATTTACATCGGAGATGTACGTACAAGGGAATTAGATACGGAAGAAAGTAGTATTATTTTTTGAGTTTCCTAACACATTTATTCATAGCTTCATACTTTGATATATGTCTTGTAGGACGTAGTTGAAGCCAAGGAGTTTCTGAAGCAAAGAGGAGTCGATGTGAGCGGTTCTGATTGAGACCGTGAACTCAGTTTTCTCTCCTCTACGGGCTGTACTTTGAGCTTCACTGAATCTGCGCATATGGTCATTAAAAGCACCACACAAAAAAAAAAAAAAAAAAAAAAAAAAAAAAAAAATTTTTTGAAAAAAAAAAAAAAAAAAAAAAAAAAAAAAAACACTTTTTGAGATGGAAAAAAATTTAGGAAGACTGCCAGGTTTAGGATAACCATTTTTGTGTTTTAACCTTTACAACAAATACACACCCTCGGCGGCTCGGCCTATACTTTGATTGTCTGACGTACAAAAAAAAAAAAAAAAAGAGTTTGAGAAATACTTTTTAATCATGTGTCTTGATATTGAAGTAACAGAGTAGAGCATGGACAGAGTTCCTATGCATTGTGATTCTTGAGGTGTGGAAGAAATTTGTGGCAGGTTGAAATCGGCTTCAAAATTTGTTTACTTTAGAAACTCATAAACGAGTAGCTTCTTAACTAGATTCCCAAAAGGTTCCATAGACCGACTTACAAACTCTATCAAAGTGATCCGCCTTGATCGACCGACCACTACATAAGCCGATGGCGGAGAAAGCTCGAAGAGCTTCTCTTCATTCGCTTCACAGGAGCCGATTTCCTCCATAAATTATCCGATCCAAATGGCAAAGAAGTTTCCATATTTCAGTTCGTACTCGCATCAAGCTGTGGTTTCTGTCCCCTTCGATTATTGGCAGGGGCCAGTCTTCTTCAACTGGCTGAATTGCATCAATATGGATCAAATAATGCATTGGGTGTATGTTCCTCAAAAAATCCGATTCTTGCGGATTCTTCTCCTAACTAATGAAGATTTTGGCAATTGTCTTCTTGTTAGCCATAAAAGACTACTTCTTGGACTGTGGCCGACACCAGAGAAGACAATAAAGGGCAACAGTTCGCAATGGTATGTATAATGATGAGTGCAGAATCCAGATTAGTGGATTCGGTGAAGATACTGCAGGAGAATGGAAAAGAGTTTTAGCAAGAGATGTCGTTAATTGGGGCAGAGAAACATGGGTTGGTTTATCTAGCCCGTATCTCTTGGAGAGATGTGCAGAAGCTCTCTTTGACTCAGTAGTAGGACCGCATTCTCAATTAAAATGCCTATCTATAAAGCGCCGAGTTAAAGAGGGAACAAGTCCCATAATACAACTATTTAAATTTACTATTTTTAAAAGATACAAGAGCGAAACAATCAACCTATTGATATTAGAAGACTCAAAAGATTCTTCCAATGTATCATTTCTGGGTCTAATAAAATTCATAAATGAGTCGTCGGTTCCAATCCAATCCGATAAAGGGCCTCTCTATTTTCCACGAAACTCCTGTCTTAGTCTTCATTTTTCAGCCCGACGTGTACTTCCGTTACATACGTTTCTGTTTGATCTGTTTACATTTGAAAAACGCCTATAATTTCATACAAATTCAACATGGGATGGCATATTGGTATAAAACTATTAATTATAACATGAAAAGAAAACAAAAGGTTAAGAAGAATGGCAGGGGCATAAAACTAAAGAAGGGAGTTGATTTTTTTTTTTAAAACCCTTTTAGAGATACGGTAAAATTTTACAAATCATGTTGAAATATGACAAAAGACTTTGAATATGTTACAAATAGTTAAAAATTAACATCATCAAAATAGCTAATGTGTCATTTTATAATATAACCATGAATTTCACTAAAATAATTATTATGTAATTTTTACTATCATATTTGCATATATCTCAACTTTACTTTTACAAATTTGTGATGTAGTGTAATTATTCTTGTAAATTTAAAAATTTTGCTATATTTAAAATCATACTATTAAAAGAATTGAAAAAAGTACATAATTTTGTGCAGACTAATTATTTATATTTAAATAATTGAGTGTCATTATAATTTTTGTATTTTTTATTAATTAAATAAAAATTATTATTTTTTGAGAGGAGTAACATAATAATACTTTTTTAACATTTTGAGCTTTTTCCCTCAAGTAAAATTTCAAAAATAGAGTTTAAATATAATAAAAATTTTAAAATATTACTACAATAATAAAATTTTGATATTATTAAAATAATAACTATATAATTATATATATAATGCGAAAATTGACATCATTATAATAATAATGATGTCATTTTTATTATATTTATAATATTTTGAAAATTTTGCTAAATTTTATCTAAGTATGAAATTTTGCGTGCAATTATCTAAAATCTATAAAAGGCGCCCGGCCCTTTTTACATAAACTGCGGCCCATTACGGCTCATTTTCAGACTTGTTCGCCTTTTCTCGTTAGGCTACCAATTCTAGACTGCACCTCCATTCCATTAAAATCCCATCTGTCTCGCGTCTCTCCAAGTGAAAAGGCTTTTGTTTCCAGTCTCCGGAAAACAGAGACGCCGCTCAAGGAGGGAGAAGGACGAGAACTCGAAGAAGATGATAATACCAGTCCGTTGTTTCACCTGCGGCAAGGTCTTTCCTCACTTTCTATTCTTTTCCCACATTTTCTCACTGCTACGATTCCTCTTCTCTGGGGTTTTATGAAGATACGTTTTCTAGGGTTTATACAACCATTTTTTCTTCCATCTTCCACTCTGAAAATCTCAACCATCGAACAATTTCTTCATTAAATTAATCTTTATGGCTATTTATTTTTATCTTTTATTTGTTAATTTCTTTCGAAAAATTGGTTGTTGTAGGTAATTGGGAACAAATGGGACACGTACCTTGACCTTCTCCAGGCGGACTATTCTGAAGGGTGAGTAGAGTTTCCTAGAAACAATTATTTTGCTTGAAATATTGATTTTTGTGTAATATGTTTGAAGATCGTTAAGGTCATTAATAGTCCTGCTTGTTTGAGGAAAACTATGTAAAACCGGTTTCTTAGCTAATATCTAACCATGTTTTATGTTGAATTCCGTATTGGAGTCTCTCTGGAAGAATGGCTTTTAGGGGTGAAAATCAGTGAGACTAAAAGGGTTTGTGAAGGATTTTCGAATGCTTTAATGATACATGTGAAAGTTTCTTATTTTCTGTTCTTGGGTGCAATAAAATTGGAATAATCAAGTTAATGGTAAAAATCTTGAAATTGGAAGTTGCTACGGCTGGGTGTAATTGCATGTTTCTGAACATTAGATTTGGTCGAAATCATATCAAAATGGAAGACTATGCAAAACTAACAATACTTGTACAGATCTGATGGTTCATAACATGTAGGGTGTTGTTCGTACCTTGCGGTTAAGATCTCAAGATTTTCCTTATATAAGACATTATTAAGTTCCCGTGGTGACTTCTGATTGATTGGCGTGCAGAGATGCTCTTGATGCATTGGGTTTGGTTCGTTATTGCTGTCGAAGAATGCTCATGACCCATGTTGATCTCATTGAGAAGCTTCTGAACTACAACAGTGAGTCGTCTCTTTGTACCTCTGTCCTTCTACTTGCAAAAGTTGTTTATTTTACTTTTTACGTTTTGGGCTTGGGGATCAATAGTTTTCTTTGTTGATACCTTATGGATAAGACTCTTCGAAAAGTTGATTTGATTTGACCGTATTTATGATGCTTTTGCTTTCTGGTGTAGCTCTGGATAAAAGCGAGGGCAGCTGAGGGAGGGGAGTTTACGGCGTTGCGAGGGACTTCATTTGGTTGCTTTGTATGATAGGTTGGAGTAGTTTGAATATGCTTCTGGATCACTGCCTTTATGGTTGAACAATGGGTTATTACTAGTTCTGAAGACAATAGTGATGTACTTCTTTAGAAGAAAGAACTGATCTTTTTGCCTTTTTACTTATTGTGGATTGTTTGTTCCTCATATATGAGCTGCATGTGAACTAAATTTACATATTTCTGAATTTGGATAACCTCCTCATTGCAAAATGTGAATATTTGAGATATCTGATTCGGATAACATGCTCATTGCAGTAGCTTAGGTGAATGTAAAATATTTTGTTGGAGAGATCCACATTTCTTCAGTAAACTATAGCTTGCATTTAGGATCTGGATTATGTCCTATTTTTATTGGTGTCCGTTAAAAGGGTTGATTTTAATTTTGGTCCCTGAAGAATAAGATTTGCCTCACCTTGCTTTTTACAACTATAAAATCACATAAAGTTCCTTCCCAAACTTGTTGAAAGTTGCAACTTTGCTACTTACTTTAAAAAGTGTTAGTTTTTTAACGATTTTATTAATCATGGTTTTTGTTTGGGTGTTCACGCGTGATTAAAACATGTAGATTTTGTTCATTTGATTCGAGTTTTGTTATAATAAAAAGCTCTCAGAAACAGTCTAATTTTTTTGTTACAGTAAAAAACTTTCACATAAAGTCACATTTCAACTCGAATTAAAAACTCGAATTAACGAACTAAACAGATTTGTAAAAAATTGTCCTTTTTTAGTCTTGCAACTCACACGTGATTAAACCGTTTGAAATATTGGTCCCTCAAGAATAGAAATATTAGAGTTGCAACCTATACAAAATTTTGGGGAAGAGTTTTTCTTTTTATTTTATTTTTATTTTGAGTCATATGAAACAAGGTGAGATGTTATTTTTTGAGACTTAAATTTGAAATTAACCCTGTTTAAACAAGAGGCGCAAAATTTTGGGGAAGAGTTTTTCTTTTTATTTTATTTTTATTTTGAGTCATATGAAACAAGGTGAGACGTTATTTTTTGAGACTTAAATTTGAAATTAACCCTGTTTAAACAAGAGGCGTATCCATCATTCTTTCCAAGCAATGAATCCCAAATTCCATGCCGCTTGCCAGGAAGTTGCAAACTCTCCCTGGTCAACTTCAATAGATATTTTCAGGAAATCAGTTTATTGTTGCGTCTCTCTAAATGGTTATAATCTAACTTATTTTTCCGTTGTCGTGCAATTGAAGAGCGCTCATGATTGTAGCCATTTGATTCTAGTGACTGATTCATTTAAAATTAGAGGGTTAAGATCTAAGACAATTGTCATATAAGTAGGGTCCATTCTACATGTGGCTTGTTTGAGTTATTCAATTATTCGTTTCACGTGCATGGTACATATTTTCTCATTTATAGCTGTTTACTTTCTTCCTAGCCAAACACTATTGGGAATTATACTCGAGGGATGAATAAGTATGCCTAATTTCCTGCATTCAAAAAACATCTACACTGCAAACATCATTAAGAAAAAAAAAAAAAACAAATTTTGCAGAAACATTACGAGTCAATACACCACTATTAATGAATAAATGTTCCAACTAAATGATTGGGACTATCTAGTATTTCAAAATTTCTCGTCTTCATGAAACACATAGCTCTAAGTTCATAAATGGATCAGATATGTCAAATATAATTGCGCGGCACAAGATTAAAGCTCTTTATAAATATTTCCATGACGTTCATATATCTATTATTAACTTTCTCAAATTTTCCATCCAATTAAAGCAACACGACTATAAATGACAAATTAATTTTGGCAATGGTTATAACTCAACCTGTAGGCCTGCTCTTCAAGGGTTTATTCACATTTTCAACCTTTTGTCCTATTCATACCCTATTTGCCAGCCCAAGCTAATTGGTACAACTACTCTTCAGTCACAATTGTGGAAAATTAGAACAGAAAAGAAAGACAAAAAACTGTACTTTCTTTCATTAAAACGTTATTTACACTTTTGTGTGAATCCAACCCACAACTTAAGAATAGTAATGGAGGGAAAAAAAAAAGGAATTACTATTTTCTTTTGTATTTCAGTTCATAGTACATCGATACATAGAAAAACTCTAATTCAAATCAAATTTAGGTACAGTTTTTTAACTATCTAATTAAATCAACATCATATCAAATTAAATAAAAATATTATAATTTGATGGAATCTACTAAAAATTTATGGTCTGATAGAATACTATTTCATATTTTACTAAAGATTATTAATAGTAAACTATATTCTAAATATTTTTTTCTACATAATACATCACAAACTTTAATCTTAAAAAATTGCATCTTAAACTTTAAAATTATTAGCCATTGAGGTCCAATAACTAATGAGTGCCATCAGATTAAGGATATTAGATAAGAGATTCACACATAAAAGGTAAAACTCAGTCATTTTTCAAACCAAATCATGTGCTAATCTCGTATTTCAAACTGTTAATTTAATAACTCTCATCAGTTGTTACTAATTTAAAAATAAAGTATGTAATTTATCAAAATTAAAAAGTTTTAAATGCATTAATATCTAAAATTCGGTCCTTTAATTACATATGTGTATAGATGAAAGGAAACTTTTGGCTAAATAAATGGCCCTTAAATAGCAGTATAGCACGAGCATTTGATTACACCGACGGTAACAGAGAGATAATCTTTCTCCCAGATTTGGCACTTGTCTCAAGCACAAGTTTCATTCCTTCACTCTCGCCTCACTCTATCTCAGACACCCATTTTTCCTTCCCCTTTTTCTAAGCCTAAGTCCAGCTCATACCAAACCCACACCCCTTTACTTACCCACTTCACGACCAACTTCTTCTTCTTCTCTCTCTCTCTCTCTCTCCAATGCAAGCACATTTGTAAAACGAAGAGAGAGAAACAGGAAGAAAAAAAAGAGAGAAAATCAAATGCCTTGCTATAGATCCCAATAATTATTACAAGGAAAGCCACTGAATCCCCGGGAATCCGAAATTTTGCCCCCAAAAATGGGCGGTCTCAGAGAATCGTGGTGTTTCTGCAAGGGAGTGAGCAAGTCCGAGAGGATGAAAGCCGCCATTTTCTCCGGCAAGGCTCCGGCCATGGCCACAACCTCCGGCGCCGCCAATGAGATCTTCGGCACCGGATTCTTGATCCACAGGAACCTCCTTTTGTCCACTCACGTCAACCTTCCCTCCGTCTCCGCCGCAGAATCCGCCGAGATCCGTCTCCAAAACGGCGTCGCTGCTACTCTCTTTCCTCACAGGTCCGTACCAAGCTCGCTTTAAGCTACATTTTAGTAAACGAAGGGTTTTAACGTGAGCAGAACCTAGTTGCACTTTAATGTGGGAGGAGAGGAAATTTATCTCTTTTCCATTTCTGTTTTCCTAGGTCCGGAATGATACTTAAATAAATTCTCTAAATTTTTAAATTTGTTCACTCAACTTCATTTTCCTCAGCCATTAATGCTTGACATTGTTTCTTTCTCTATTTGACATTATGTTTTATGTGACATTTGAATTGGTTGACATTGTTTCTTTCTCTATTTGACATTATGTTTTATGTGACAGTTGAATTAGTCAAGGAGATCCAATGTGAAAATGATTACTGGATTTTAGTTGCACTGGTTTATGATCAGTTCTTGCCATCTTAAATTGATAGTGCTAGCAAATTAACTAGATTAAATTCTTAACTAGAATAACTAGTTTAATCATGCACTCGTAGGTTAATGATATATATATATATATATATATATATGCGTATATATATTTATAGAGAGAGAGAGAGGATTTATTAGCTAGTGTAATCGTGATTATGCTGGCACCATTAAGGTTATCAGATAGGTTTTCTTATTCTTTCATTTGCGTTGCAGGTTTTTCATTACCAGCTCCGTTTTGGATCTTACAATAGTGGGTTTAGATTCCATGGATGGAGATTCAAATGCCCAGGGGCAACATCCTCACTACTTGAAGACTTGTTCTAAACCAACTCTGGATCTGGGTAGTGTAGTTTATCTTTTAGGCCATACGGAGAAAAAAGAGTTGACAGTTGGTGAAGGAAAGGTGGTTATAGCCACTGACAATCTCATAAAATTGTCCACGGATGGAGTAATGTGGAGCCCTGGGTCGGCCGGATTTGATGTGCAAGGAAATCTTGCTTTCATGATCTGTGATCCTATGAAGCTAGCCTCATCGCCAACTAATAAGTCCTCATCGACATCTTCGTCATCCTCGTCGTCGTGGAAAAAGGATTTCCCTATGCAATTTGGCATCCCGATTCCCATCATCTGCGATTGGTTAAACCAGCACTGGGAAGGTAGTCTTGATGATCTTAACAAACCGAAGTTGCCAATCATTCGATTGATGTCCACGGGCCAGAAGAGTGAGCATTCATGCGCTTCCTTTACACTGCGGCGAGTTTTCAAGTCAACTGAAGCGGATCAAGATGGAACACCATCTTCATCAAATGCCATCTCCAAAGCTAGGGATCAGCCTGGACCGAGCTGTTCTCCTCCAGCAGAGAACACTGTTGAAGAAGAAACCCGAACAACGGATCCACATGCTATGCACATACAGGGAATTCCTACTCCAGAAATATATGAATCCCCAAAGTTAAACGCTGTTCCTATTCAGAAAAAACAAAGTTCTCCAGTTCAGCTTCTGGATATCAATTTCCCTCCAAAAGTAGTTAGACCTGTAAGTCCAAAGCGGCCAGCCAAGCTGCTGCTCCCGAGTTCTGGTGAGAATTTTATCAGGGAACCATCACGAGAGAGACCACTAAGAGAAGGGGAAGACCAAAATAAGGAAAGAGGACTTACCGGTCCGGATGCTAATGCTGAAGTTTCCTCAACAGGTTCTGTGAGTGGGGCTCAGAGTGAGGTCCAGTCTAGTTCATCCCCTGTCGAAATTTTGGAGATGCAGAATGGTTATAATGGCTATAGCAGTGAGGGAGAGACTATGTATTCTGCAGAAACCGCCGAGAGTCGGAATTATACAAGCCCTGGAGAGGGAAAGTTTCAGCAAGTCGGTAGGAGCCAGAGCTGTGTAAGCTACAATAGGTGGGGAACTGTCCAAAGGAACCCGGTGGCTCGTAGGACTTTGGTTGAAAAGCAAAGGAGCTTTGTCCATGGAAGAAAGATGTATTCTCAAGGGGCTACTTCTCAAAGGAGTAATGACTTTTACAGCCCAACTGTCTCTTCAATCATGAAGAACCGGAACAACTTGGAGCAGAAGAACAGACCCCAACAAAGTACAGTACATTCATCTCCAAGATGGATGTTTTAAAACGATTCTTAAATTTGTGTAATACTTGTGAAAGTAATTGACAACAAAATTCATAGTGTTTTGCACTTTAAATTAGTGCCCATATGAGTTCCGTTAGGTATAGTGTAACATATTTGTTGTGCCTGTGCATGACATTGATCTGAGGTGAATAAGAAAATTCGGCCAAGTTGTAATTTTCTTCCCAGTGAGTCATGTTTGTTGTTAATTGTTAAAACATTTTCGTAACACAATTGCTTATGAGACTGAACGACTATCAAATCAATGACAAGTGCAAAATCATTGCAGTCAAATTCCTCTTTTACAAATGTGAAATGCATTTCTGGGACATTTTCCAAATTACTTTTGGGCAAAGCTACAGTACATGGGCGACAGGCAAACAGGAGGCTGTTTTTGTCATGTGTTCTTGATAGTCCTGTTTTCTATCATGTACTATGTCATAAGGGATTTATTTTTCGCCATGTGGCCCATGTTTTTCCGTTTCACTCTTTCAACAGTCAAAAAAGTTCGCCTTCGGTGTCGGTGTCGGTGTATGTGTTAAAAAAAAAGTGCACCGTAGGAGATTCTCGAAAAGTTTGTTACTCGGTGACGTTGGAGCAACTTTAATGACTCCTTACGAATTCAAAAATGGCATTCTTTACTGTGAAAAAAAAACTTCCCTTGATAGGATTTTTATTTTTAACTGTTAGATTAATTTTTTAATTAAATTTATAATAAGAATAGTTCTGTGTGACACGTTATAAATTTTTAATACGAATATGTACAAATCTAACCGTTGAAAAATTAATTCAACAGTTAAAAGTGAAGATTCCACCGGTGAGTTTTTCTCTTGGAGTTCTAGCGAAGTGGTTGCCTTAAAAAAAAAATTCAAGCTACTAAAAACTTTTTGTACCCATATTGTCTTTAAGACCTCTGTTCTTTGATATCATTTTGTTTTCTGTTTGAATTTCTCAAACAATATATCGAAGCAAAGAAGTGTTGCAAGAAGTATAAAAGAACAACAGGAAACACAACTTGAGAACCAACTCAGTAATGTTTACAAAACCCTTACATTGCAGTGTAGTACTGTCCCCCCAACTACAAACGTCCTCAATTTTCTGTTCTCATGAGAGTCATGACGCCACTCGAATTCCTCTATTCTTCTATCGTAGGATTCATTTATTCCTTCCAAACCATCCATCAACGAAAGAAAGACCAAAAAAAAAAAAAAAGGACAGGAGAAAACTGCAGTTTATTAGAGAGAAAAAAAAAGAGAGGAGTTTTTGTAGGAGCTCCGCAACATTAGAACATGAACTCAACGACAAAACAATTACTACAAAAATTCTACGGCCGGCCTAACACGTCAATAGGAACTCCATGGGCGTTTTTCTGTGGCCATCCCAAGAAGAGGCGGAGTAAAAGCTGGAATCAACTCGGAGGACTCGATCTTCTCCATTAGTTGGCGGATAAACTCGCCTGCCAAGAATGAAACACCGGAGACCCCAAGAGCAATCACAAAATAGTAAAACACGGTTTTGAAATATTTGTGTGGATTCTGGACTTGGGCCTTTGCAACCGCCAGTAACGTGATGCATACGAGTGAGGCAACTGCAACTGCTGCAAGCTTGAGGTCCTTGTCATCGGTCTCACGAAACGTGAAACCGTAGACCACAGGAGGTACTGATCCGAAAATAATGAATGATAGCATGGCAACAAAGGCATGGAGGATGAAATTGTGTCTCTTTCCAAGTACTTCTCCGTATCGATCCACTTGTTCATTAGTGCGACTGCAGGGCACTCTTGATTGATCATCTTTCAGTTCCCAAATCTGTAGTCCACCAAGCAGACTAGTTATGATAAGAAAAAGACTAGTGAATACAAATGGAAGAGCCACTCACATTATGAACAATAATGAATAGTCCACCAAGCAGATTTGCCAACGCCAAAGATACAATGTTCACTGCAAATCAAAAAAATATACATGCTCGAAAGTTATAACTAAATTGAACAACTTTGATATTAACAATTCCCGTAACAGTCTACAGAGAGAATGAAGCAAAACGGCTTACATGTGGTTGCGTTGCCGCTAGCTGCGGAAGTCACAATGCCTAAACTTGCAATTGATTCAGCTAAACCACCATATACGATGGCTTTTAGGATCTCCCATGATTTAGAACTGTCGGGTGTAGGAACCAATATCAGTTCTCCTGTTGGCATAGGGATTCTCGTATCAAGAAGACCTGCTTTGACAAATATTATCACGCTTTTGCTTAGATTATAGTGTGTTAAACCACAATGCAAAAGTATAAAACAAATGATGCAATTGACAAGTGCAATATCAAGACATAAAAAGAAAACTTAATCTCTGGTGGAGAGATGAGTTTGACCAGGCCAACAAAAGGGTGCTAAAAAGTAATGAATCATTCATATTTGGCTTCTTTCAGCTTTAAACCTGTGTTAGAGTGTCCAATTAGGCTCCTCTTAATGATTGTTTTCTAGCATGCAATGCATTAAGATTGTGCATGTGCGACTTTTAGTTGTTGTCCTCATAAACATTTTGCACGTATTGCTTATTATACCTTCAGCGTCTTCTTCCCCTGGAACATTTGGACGAATTCCACCAGGAACTACTCCTTCATGAATGGAGAGTTGTCCTGTTGAAACAGTTAAATTTATTCCAGGTGCTGGAGCCTTAGTTGTTACAGTCACAGTTACCTCAGGGGCAAGCAACGGAGTTGTTGGATCATCTAGCTCTGGTCTCTTTGTTTCAAGCGACGGAACTTTTTCTGTAACATTATTTTCAACTTTGCGTCTGAAACCTCTGCTTGTTCCGGACATAATGGCTCCAGCTAATTTGAACGCCGAGGGCTTCTTGTCATGCAATGTTCCATTTGAGTCATTTAATGGAACTTGCTCTTGAACTCCGGTAATGTTGTCTGAAATATTTGGCAATGGTTTAGTAGTATTTACTTCAGTTCCAATTCGCTGTTCAGGTACTGGAGTTACACTTCTTGATGGAACTTGCTCTTGAAGTCCAGTAATGTCGTTGGGATCGTTTGAAGATGGTTTATCTTCTGTAAATACAACAGCTCCAATCGGTTTTTCTAGCACTGGAGTTTCAACTGCTGATGAAGCTTGATTATTTTGATGAGATTGTATTTCAGAGTTACGTTCTAGGGGTTGAGTTGTTGCAGTAGCTGCTACAGGCTGTCTAGCCACTGGAGTTTTGCTTGGTGCAGCTTGGCCACTCTGATCACGCTGTGGTTCACGGAAGTGATCAGGTAAAAGTTGCTCTTCTGCATCAGATCAGGTCAGAAAATGTTTAGTTATACTCAATGTCATCCTAACACGGAAAAAGAAAAATGTTGAAACCAATCAACACCAAACAAGTACAACTCCTGGTTAAACTAGAAGAAAAAGTTTGTCTTGTTATTTTTTATAATATAAAGAGAGAAAAAAAAAGGAGCCTTCTGACTGATCTGATAAACATAATGTGTTCTAAGTCCTCATAACTAAGCACCACATCCAGGTGCTAAAAAGAATGTTGTGACCACAACTCTATCCCAACTTTTTATTACCAACGTACATAGAATGCGAGTTTTCATTTTTCCCTTCATATGTGTTTAAAAAATTGTAACGTCAATTAATATTGAAAGATTGCCACTTGGGTTGGTAACAAAAGTAGGGTTTCCTAACATTGGTAGACTATATTTGATTATTCAACTTTAAAAGCTATCTCTAACATGGCTATATCTCATTCCAAAAAGGTTAATGCAAGAAGTAAACTAATAATATCCTTCCACCATATGAAAGCAATATCCGTGATTGAGAAACTTCTTGAAACTAATTAATTAATTCCAATAAAAATACTTGCAAAAAACTTTTACAGGAAGAAAGAATATTAGTTACCTAGATTGTTAGTGTTTTCCCGGTCACTGTCTGGGTCTGGCCAGAAGATCTTGCCTGCTCAATTGAAACAAATGGTTAAAGTGACAACCTTTTTCAATATCAGATAATCATTTGAACTAAAAGAATATACAAACAAACAAACAAACAAATGCCATGGCATGCAAAAGTATTGATCAAAGCAGACTGGTAATGGATGGTTCTGGTAGTGGTTCTCTCTAGCACAACCCTCATAGTTCGGTTTTTTACATACTGTAAAACGTATAATAAACAGCATATAGTAAAAGAGAAAGGATCAAACTTATTTTAGTCCCAAGCGAATCGCATTTAGTCCCTAACTTTTGAAACATCTCAGAGCGAAGGATCAAACTTATTTAAGTCCACCCCAAATCTCATTTAGGCCCTAACTATCAAAACATCTCAAAACAAGTATACGATCTATCAACTTGTCCCAGATTAGATTTTGTAAAGGCATGACTTCCGTCTTGATAGTCATGTACTACATTGTCTCAAATAAGTCCTTTTTATCCATCCGATTGTTAAAATCTTAACGGAAAAAGACACTGACTTCCTTCTTATCAGTGGTGTTCTAACATGTAAAGATACAAAATTAACTTTTACTAAACCGCACATAGTCTTCGCATGCCTTTTTTCATCGACAAAAAATGAAAATCGAAAACTATCAAGAAAAAGAAAAGAACCTGCAAGAGTGAGGAAACTGAAGCAGGATGTGCATCGAACTCTATCAGGAGGGGGTGGAGCTCTCTGGCGAACAAGAACCTTCGTGATACACGCCCTGCAATTAGGACACACAAACTCATGTTGACCTTGCCTATTATACAACCTTTCAATATCCAATTCCTCTTCTTTTTCTTCTTCTTTTTCTTCTTCTTCTTCTTCTTCTTCTTCTTCTTCTTCAATTCTGCTTCTCGTAATAGCGTCCTCACGTTCACTCGTCCCACAATTGCTTAGAGAAACATACTTTCCATTTTCCTTCTGGGCAGAAGAAGAAGAAGCTGAAGGAGTCAAATCAGGCAAGCCATCGTTCTCAACTTCGACCTTGACTACATCAATTTTCTCAAACTTCGATCCGTTTGTTTCCAGCTCCAATGTCTGATCCGCAGGATTTCCCTCGGAAACAAGAAAACCGTCGTACCGGTTGTCCAATCCCGAGTGCCCATTTGTGGATTTGGTATCTGAAATCATTCATCCATCAATACATATGTGTATGTAGAATTTGATCTACAAATTTCAAAACTTTTATGGAAAATATTAAAATTATTCGGCAAAAAGAAGTTTGACAAAACGGAAGTGAAAGCGACAAGAATATCAAAGTACACGGAAAAATTAGAGAGAGAAAAAAAAAAACAGAACAAACTATGGTAGGGTCCTTCTTCCTTAACCTTTGTAAAAATCTGAGAGATTCTTAAAACCAGATTGGACAATGCTGTAAAGAAAACAAACCTCTCTTTCACACTCTTTTGTGCGAGGGCGCGTGGGATTGTTATTGTCAAGTACAGTAGAAGGACATTTTTCAGTTACCTAAATCTCAGTTTAAAAAAAAAAAAAAAACAAGTCGTAGGTTTTACTGATAATATTCTCAATATTCACGTACCTCCATTTTCGCCGTGAGAAACTGAAACTCCATTTGTTGGATTTCCAATATTATTAGCTTCATCATCACTGGAAGATCTCTCAGAGGATTTCCCACTTCTAGTATCATCATCATCATCAACATCCTTGGAAGTAGTAATTGTAGTGGTGGTAATAGTAGTATTTGCCGTGTGCTGACGTGGCATTCTTCCTCTCAAAGCGTCTTCGTCTACTTCTACTTCTACCTCTTCCCATGGCTTCACCGCCTCCATCTTAAAGAGCAATGAGGAACACTCAGTCACAGGCCACCCTTCTTTTTTTTCTCGTTTTTTGTGGCTTCTTCTCAATGCAAGAACTGCAAAGTATAAGCCCCACTTAAGTACAGTCTCAACTCAAGTCTCCTCTTTTAGTCTTTACGGTATTATTACCTTATTGCCCCTCTAATGTAACTCTATATATATAGATATATGCATATATAAATATTAATATTAATGAACTGGAGATCAAATGTGGTGATTTGGTTCGTAGGAATGCAAGTTGGGCTACCTCCTCTTCTCAGTCATAAATTCAACAACAAAATGAATAAATAAATAAATAAGAAGATAGCTGGCAGGATGATGGTGCTATCCATGTGTCCTGTCATAATTAGGTTCCCAATGCAATTTCATTTTATAATATAATATATATATATATATATATATATACGCGTAGAATACATGTAAACATGTCTGAGTTGTTCAAACAAACAAAAAAAAAAAAAACATATGTATGTGAGTATTTATGTGTGACCCGTATAAATTGGGTCTAGGATTCTAGATAAATTAATGAATGAATGAGATGGAAGAGTTGTGCATTGTTGAAAATGGGCTACCTACTCTCTGGATAGTACTGTTGAAAGCATTATAAATGCCCTATGTTATTCATTATCTTTTTTTAGCTCTCAAGGGTTTGGATGGACAATTCAATGGTCAATTGAAGTGAAGCAAACCACCACCACAAGAAACATATTAATGAGCAATAATAATGTTATAGCCTGCTTTCTTTTGTTTTAGTGATAATTATACGTCTGTTCTCTTCTTCAGAAATAGTACGTGATATTTTATTAGAGTTCTCAATTTATGGCTACGGTGATTATTGTAGCTCTTGGAGTTGAATGGATAATCAATTGATCAAATTGTGGCCAAACAATTCACCATGCTAAAAGAAAAAGAAAGTCACCATGCTAAGCATTAATAAGCAATAATAATTTTGTCTCATATTTTCTAATGCTTTATCCATAATTCTATGAATGGGTATTTGGCTTAGTTTGGTATTATTGTAGATTTTCAAAAAAAATACTTTTAATTGTGTTGAAAGAAAAAATAACTGTTACGAAAAGCAACTGAGTGTTTGATAAGATTTTGAAAAAAATATAGTTGTAATTTTTAACTATTCACAACGATTTAACTTTATAATTTATATAGTTATTATTATATTTAATATAATA